CTTTCTCATCGTAGCTAAAGAAAAAAAAATCCTATAAATAATCTCTTGATTCAGAGATACAAGGTGTTGAAAATTTAAAAAACTATTAATATTTGAAATAAATTTATAACAGTCATTGTTAGTATATTAAAAGTTATTGTACGTTGGTAAAGAGTTGATTTTTAGTATAAAGTCAATTTTTATCTGCCGCCAGTGGCGTAGTTAGGCATGAATCAGTCGACGTTTTTGTCATTATTGTTATCATTTCAAATATAATAACATAATAACGTAACTTGTGTTATGTTCCTCTCGACACTCAAAATACACAGGTTTTTGTACGAGTTACGTTTTTGACAGCACTTTAAATGTTTTCAGGTGCAATCGTTTGGAACATTTTTGTTACTTTCAATTGTTCCACATTCAAATTTCTCGAATTTCTCGAATCCAGACATTTATGGAAAATCTGTTCAAACTGTGAAATAACATGAAACTAACAAAAGTAGAATCAATATTTCAATTGATTGTTCCATCTAAAGATTTTCAAGACGTACCGAATACCTACAGAGAAACATCATTTGATGACTTAAATTTCTTCTCATTTACTTAATGCTATGCCTTTGTAAACAAATAATAAAAACACAACTATCCAATTCCAGCAATAGATTATAGTTCTGGATTATGTCACGTTAAATAAAAAAAGTCAAATATTTTATTTATTTTCATTGCACTATCACACTAAATGAATTATGAACGGTTAACCCAACTATGATATAGTACAAAGATTACATAAAACATCCATAAGAAAATTAAAAGATAATTTGGAAAATTTGATGACCTGGAAAATTTTTTCCAACAGAATATCAACTTATAAAATATAGTCGGGAAGAAGCCTTCTTTTGGAAAGGATTAAACAGAATTACCAAAATGGTACCAAGTAGCTGTCATTGTAATAAAATACATTAATTCATATTCATACAGTCCGGTGACACTTTAATTTTTTTTCTTAGAAACCCTCAATGTGATGCCACTGTGAAGAACTATTGGTTGCAAGATTTATTTCTATTTATTCTTAACCGTGCTCGAGATATTAACAATTCAAAACCATTTTCCTGAAATTTTTGACCTTAATATTCGAAAAATGTATCAAATTAATGTGATAATTTAATAATATTTTTAAAGTTCTTCAAAATGTGCAAAGCTTCAATGACCAGAACATTAAAATTTGGATTTTTTTGCTATGCAGTTGTTTATTGCTTAATTTGTTATCTGACAAAATATTGTATGATCAAATTTTGATAACCTCATTTAAACGACTAACAATATCCAAGTATTGGTACTGGAAATGGGTAATTCTACAGCAGATATTTTTTGTGCAGAAGTCTAAAGATTGAAGTTCTTAAATAAATGTTACAATAATTGTAAAAAAGAAATTTTCTCTAGAGTTCCCAATTTACTCCCCTCTGAATGATTCTGCATTAAATTTGTCATATTGTCCTATAAAGGATAACAAATGAATTAGGTACTTGCCTAAATCTCCTCTGGTTTAACTTTAAAAAATTTGAATATATTCTCAGAAATTTCAACTTAAATAAACAAAAACTAAGCATTTTCTCACTCATATTTATAAATATGAGTCATTTTGTCATCTCGAGAAATTCTATTGCTGGATGACTTGACTTGTACAATTTAGGACCCCTTGTATAGGTGACTTTGCTTTGTTGGTGTTAGTATTTGCGTAATATATTTAGAAATTACTCTTATTTTCAATCAACGGCCATTTCCAAATAATATAAACAGAATAATTTCGTGTGATTATAAACTGACTGATCTAGAGACTTCTCAATTCTAGTACCGAGAGATCCAGAATGATTGAAGCGTTTGTGGAACGCAGCCTGTCTGTAACACCATCTTTAGCATATAAAAATCTGTAGTATTGACAGAGACAAGCACAGGCTGCGATCTCCAAACACTTCAATCATTCTGGATCTCTCTGTATATTAAAAATATAATTTAAAAACCCTAATAATAATATCGTGTATTCAAATAACTAGACCTGATAGTTATGCAACACTGGATACACTGCCGCATTAACAGCTGCATAAAGCTAAACTTTAAAATAGAAGGAGTGCTGTAGTTGCTTCAAAATATTTACAGTTATACTTACTCATGCTCACGTTAAAAATTTTATATATTTTTTAATACCCTTTCGAAAAATATATATTTATGTACACATAAAAGAATAACATAATTTTGCATGAAATTAGTACCTAGTACTCAGGTCTTCGGACTTTGAGTCTTACAAACATAAATTGTTAAAACAAGGATGTCATTCCTTTTGCGATTTTCTGTACATTTATACCTACTGAAATCTTTATGATTTTTGGAACAGGTGTAGTTTTATCACTTTTACAATATCCACTTATAACATAAATCGATCTTATAATGGAAATATGCCGTGAGTAAATTATTTTTCAATTGATCCACACGATTTTTTACAATTAAAATTTATAATATAATATGGCACTACATTGAAGATATTACAAACATTTTTATATTGAAAAATGCCAGTTACATATAACAAATGAATATTATTTGTTGTAAATTATATGTCTGAACAATTATTTAATGAGATTTTGTGAAATATGTAAATGTACCAACCACTTAATGCGCCTGTAATAATTATGAGTATAATTGAAAACATAGTCAGCAATTAACTTCACAAATTAAAAAATCAGATAGCAAGTTTTTACAATTTTTTAAGTAGGTCATTCTCATGCTGTCGTGTTTGTCCACATTCTAGAGTTGTTGTCTCGAGACAATACACAATATATCTTGCAATACTAATTTTCCCGCCTTTATTATGCAAAATGTTCATTTATCTCAATTTTTTAATCTCAGGTTAATTATAGCCAAATGTCTTTGGGTCACGTTAAGGCAACCAGCAGTAAAATTACTGCCAGTTCTATTAAAACATAATTCCTAAGGATAACTGTCTAGATATTCAATTTCAAGAAAAAAAAATTCCAGGGTCTCGATGTTATTTGAAAACAGAAATCCAAGGAAACAAATGAGTTGAATTATTTCTAAAAAGATAACAACAATGATTTTTAACATAAATAAAATTTGACTCGTGTTGATTTGCATATCAGGAGAAAATGAGAGAATTTTAACTATCAAAGGACCACGAGTAGATATTTGTTTATCATCTTTTATATTTTTGCTTTAGCTTTAATCCATTAAATTAACATTAAACTAGATGAAATAGGAAGACTGATGTGATCACATGCTTACTATGCTTATTATTATTATTATTATTATTATTATTATTATTATTATTATTATTATTATTATTATTATTATTATTATTATTATTATTATTATTATTATTATTATTATTATTATTATTATTATTATTATTATTATTATTATTATTATTATTATTATTATTATTATTATTATTATTATTATTATTATTATTATTATTATTATTATTATTATTATTATTATTATTATTATTATTATTATTATTATTATTATTATTATTATTATTATTATTATTATTATTATTATTATTATTATTATTATTATTATTATTATTATTATTATTATTATTATTATTATTATTATTATTATTATTATTATTATTATTATTATTATTATTATTATTATTATTATTATTATTATTATTATTATTATTATTATTATTATTATTATTATTATTATTATTATTATTATTATTATTATTATTATTATTATTATTATTATTATTATTATTATTATTATTATTATTATTATTATTATTATTATTATTATTATTATTATTATTATTATTATTATTATTATTATTATTATTATTATTATTATTATTATTATTATTATTATTATTATTATTATTATTATTATTATTATTATTATTATTATTATTATTATTATTATTATTATTATTATTATTATTATTATTATTATTATTATTATTATTATTATTATTATTATTATTATTAATAATATGCCGCCTCCTCTCCCGCACAAGTCTCCGACTTCTGGGCTAATTCTCGTAATTAGAATGAGGAGTAGAGATATTATTATTATTATTATTATTATTATTATTATTATTATTATTATTATTATTTAAAAAAAAATGATAAATTGTAAAATCCACATTATTCGTAATGAAGATAATTCCATGCCTTATCAGCAACTATGGATTTCTTATAAACATCAAAAAATGTACAAAAAGGCTTTGCATAGAGTAAGTAAATAAGTAAGTCATATAAAAAGTTACGTTAAGAACTAGCAACCAATCCCAACTCTTTTGGAAGATATAGTAACTTGAAGATATCTTGTTAACAACAGCTGTTTTTAAATATCTTCTAAATCAGTTGAAGAATCAATATCAAATTTGGTACAAGTTTAAGGATTATTGATAACTCATATTTAATTCATAACAGTAGCAAGAAGTATGTGCAGAAATCACTTTTTCTTACATTTATAAATAAATTATCTCTTGTTAGTTTTAAATCTGTAGTATGAAAAAGAGAGGGTAATTGAAAATTAATAGCAATTATTATTAAATATAATAACTTAAAAGAAACTACTATTCGTCCTCAAATACAAATAAACACTAAAGAATCATCCTTATAGAAACTTTGCAGACGAATTAAGAAATACTCTTTATAACGTCCTATATTGCAGCACTAAGAATGAAGATGGTATTCAAATGAAGCATTTTAACTTCAGCTATTAACATTACCCCGCAGTCAATATTCCTCAACTTTTCTCTATAAATAATAAAATTTTTATATGTCTTTAATTGTCATGGAGCTTAATTAGAAAACAATCACAAAATATTTATGGTTAATATTCAGTTTACGTTACGAGTTAGTTTCTTGATACAATACACTAATTTAACATATCCTTCATCGTAGAGAACGACGATAGAGGAAAATGACCATCTATTCCCCAATTATTATATTAAGCTCATCTTAAATTGCCATTCACTGGTCGTTTGGTGTAGTAAAGAAGTGTACTTACTGTTAACTTGATGATGTGTTGCGGTGTTTTTTGATGGTTATTTTTAAATATGGCTCCTGGTCTATCTACACTTAAGAGAGGAAGTATACAAGTGCAACGCGTTGCAAAAGTAGTTAATGGTTAGTAAATTATTATCTATCATACTATTCTTAATAATAAAACGAAAACAGTTCTAAAGTATCGCTCTTAACAGTCAGATCTTTCTGTTACTAGTTTATACTTAGATCTATTCCTGGTTTTTTCGATCTTACTGAATTATTTAAAACTAATGGATGAACATAGAAAATGTAGTAAGTTTTTTACTAGACCTGTGTACTTATTTGTGATAAGAGCAATATCTAGTATTAAGTGTAGCAAAATATTCGAAATAGTGGCCAAAAAAATTAAATTTTTAATTAATTTTAGGTATTTTGTATATAAAAGTATTAAATTTCATTTAATGTTTTTGGTGTGATTTTAAAGTCAGTTTAATTGAAATCCAATCACAAACAATTATTTTTTACATAAATAATTTAAGTGAAATACAAATACATGAAATATTTAATAATTTAATAGTATGGAAACGGAATTTTTGCTGAATAACCTCATAGAAATTCTCAGAAATAATATAAGTATATTGGATAAGTTTGTAACAATTTAACTAATGATGTTGTGGGTAGCAAGTACTTCACGGAATATATGGCATATACAGGGTGTTAATAAACTTATGAAAAAATTTAAAGGGGTGAAAAAGTAGCAAAAATCTGTGTTAACTGATGTCACAAACTTGTATCGGATGTTTAAGGTCATAGAGAAAAAAGCTAATTAAAAATGTATTTAAATTGTTTTGGAACTGCTGAAATACATTATGTTTTATCGCGGCGAGTACTTACAAGAATTTCTGTAACACTTTTTACGAGTTTGTAGGTTTGTTATGAAGCCGGACTGTATTCGAAGTCAATTTGTTATACACTGTTGTAGTGATTGCTGTGCTGTTTTTCGAGAGTACATTTAATAGCCGTATTTCCAAGTTTTCTTTTGAAAATGACGCATTTATTTAGCAATCGAGAATATTATAATATGCTTATAATTTATGGCGAAGCAACCGAAAATGTCCACAGAACTTGTCAAGTGCATCGTGCAAGATATCCTGAACGATGTGCCCCCGCACCGGGAACATTTGTTGCTGTAGCGCAAAGAGTTTTGGACACCGGTGAAGTACAACCGCGTCGAAGTCGCGACGGTGGCCCAGGGCGGCCACTAAGAATCTTAAATGTCGAGGAGATGATGTTAGATCTCGTCGAAGAAGATCCGCATCGTAGCACCAGAAATATCGCACAGCAAGAAAATATTTCGCATCCTGTTGTGTGGCGGAGATTGTCTACGAGAAGCTCAGTTGTAGTCCATTTCATATTCAACGTGTTGAAGCGCTTACTCCAGAGGATTTTCCAGTACGTCGAGGTTTTTGCGAATGATTGCTTCAGGAACATGCAAGAAATGCTCAATTTATGTTATATGTTATAATGTTATAGATGAAGCATGTTTCAGTCGAAATGGTGTATGTAACGTCCTCAACACTCACCACTGGACTATCGAAAATCCATAAGAAATACGTCGCGGTACTTTTTAGCAACAGTTTTCAGTGAACATGTCGGCTAGTATCGTTAATGACACTTTAATAGGACCTTTTAAATTGCCTAGACGTTTAGACGGTGCTTCATATCTAGATTTTTTGCAAAATCGCTTGTTGGAGTTATTGGAAGACGTGCCATTAAATGTTCGGCAAAGTACCTATGTGGTTACTGCATGACGGAACCTCCGCTCACTTTTTTGGGAGAGTGTGCGACTTTCTAAACTTTACTTTTCCCGATCGTTGGATAGGTCGCGGCATCGGTGGGGATAAGTGAAAAGTGTTATGTATTCCATAAGTTCGTGACATCGACCAACGGCGACATCGTACTACCGAAGCTTGTAATACGATTCAAGAGAACGTGGCAATGCTGCAACGCATGCGAGCGAATTGGATACGTCGCGCTGAAGCTTGTGTGCAAGCAAATCGTGGATACATCGAACATCTTCTATGAAAATCAGCAGTTCTCAAAACTTGGCTCTTTGCAATGTAGAGGTAAGTCAGATCATAAAATTACATTTTACTCGAGGCAAATCCATGTAGTTACCTCAATTTGACATAACGGACATGTGGCAGTTCATTAACACCCTGTATTAATTTTAAATCATTTGTCGGTCGCCTCACTTACAGTATACTGATGAGAATTAATAAGTTTGAAACCGGTCTGTACCTGGTAACCAGCGTTACCAGATTTTTTTTTCGAGCAAAGCGGGATTTTGAAATCTTTTTATTAAAAAAGCGGGATTCTTTCGTCGAAAGTGGACATACTAAAAAAACGTATATAATCAATCGTTTTTAACTACTTGGCCTTTTTTGAGTTTCAAATTAAGTTTACATGATAGCCAAAATTGCCACAGAAAATGTCCCGAAAAAGGGGACTGATCCTGTCCATTTCATTTTGGGCTAAAAATCGAGACGTCCTGCTAAAATCAGGACGTCTGACAACGCTGCTGCTAACTCCTAATGAACGTTTCTAGCTGTTTATTAGATATTGTGGGTGTAATTCGATGCCATCCGTGCATCAGTTGTTTCCTAAAATTTTGTTAGTTAAAATGTTTATTCCGCATACCTTACTAGTCTTGCGTTCACAGCATCTGCAGATTAGTAGGTCACTTTGTGCCAGTAGACATAAAGTAGCAATGACATTTAAATATGACATATACTTTGTTGGTTATGTGTCATCAATATTTAAGGTTGTAACGAGTAGCGAGACCTAGTGTATTTTGTCATTCTTCGGTTTTGGTTTGTCAAGGTTTGGTTAGGAAAAGTAAATTTAATATTTTCAGTGGGTTTACTTAATTTTTACTTTATTGCTCATTTTACTACTTAATTATTATTAACTACATGTTTTTATTTATTAATAAGACATTTAAAGTTTGTTTATAATTTATAAAAACTACAAAAATTCTAGAAAATTTGTTGTTCGCATTGGAAATAGGCGTACCCTTATTATCAACTTTTTAAAGATGACTTCAACTTTTTATACATTGCAGAAATATTGTGTAAGATAATTTTGAGCAATTTTTTTTTAATAATCGGTTGCATACCTCGACTTATAACTATGTTCCCAAGTAATTAACGATCTAGTGTTAAATTTAAAAAGAAGTACCTATACAGGGTGATTTTGGTGATTACAAACTTGAGAGAATTTTTTATAGTAGGTAGAATATAATAGAATAGGTAATCATTTTCAATAATCAGACTCCTTGAATCGTTAAAGAGTAATAAAAATAAACGTTTCTAGTTTAATTGTAGTCAATCATCAGTTCTGGTATTTCATACTATCATTGTAATAAGTCAATAGGCATTAAAATAAAATTACCCTATTTGTAAAAAATATTCCTGAAATCAAGTTTTTGCGTCTCAGTTTTTGTACTCTTTAAATATCCTCTTCAAATTTCAAAATACACTGTATATTTTTCGAAGTTGTTTACAACTGAACTTTGAATGATCTTGTACTCTCGCTTTGTGACCATCTACAACGTATTTTGCTAAATTATACATCCCACCTAGTTAGTTTTTGAAAAAATGTTTGATGCAGAAGTTATTCGAAGTGCCAAAATTATGCATCAAATCAAACAAATGAACATCATAAAGGTATGAAAATAAATATAATTTAGGTTTTTCTAATGGAACCCTATACAGTGTAGGAAAGTACCGATGGTCTATCAGAAGTTACGTGAGAGCGATAAAGTAAGCCATAGAAATCCATGTGATAGACAAGGATGGCTATAATGAAGGCGTCTAATAGTCAACGCCCATTTCGCCCTTCCACAAATAAGAAGTGGTTCTTATTTGTGGAAGAGCGAAAGGGGCGGTGACTATGAGACGCCTTCATTATAGCCATCCTTCTCTATCGCAAGGATTTCTATGGCTTACTTTCTCGCTCTCACGTAACTTCAGATAAACCATCGGTACTTTCCTACCCTGTATATAAGGTATGTTTAAGTAGCTGGATAGAACATATTCTTAGGATTACAGTAATATAAGATTTATCTCTGATATCAAAGGAGGTATGACCAAAAGTGTCAGTGGCGGAATTACCACACAGCAAAAGGGTACTATGGGGCCGTGAGCTTCCTTATTAATATAGACAGTATGCAGATGAGTTAGATTATTCTTGACTAAAATAAAAATAATATATACAACTATTTTATAACATTTGTTGTCAAGTTAGTGAGTAATTTTTAAAGACATGACTTTATAGGTAATTTGGGATAGTTATTTGGCTAAACTATCCACAAGCAAAATTGCAAAAAAGCTCTCAAACTATTTAAGATGGAATTATGTTACTGTTAGGAGAACATGGATTGAGGGAGGTAGCATATCTTTGAGGTTAATATCTTTAACCTGTATCAAACTGAAATACACACACACGAAATGAGGCATATTATAAAAAAAACTTGAAAATTACTAGGTATTCAAGTAAAATGTGAGACACATTTTTTCTTTGACTGATTTAGTGCCCAAACCCAGTGGTGTTGAAATTCTAAGGTTCATATTGAAGCTATCTAGTCCTTCCGCCAGTACTTGAAACATTTTCGAACACTTTTTTGTAGCAACCATTTATTCTAAACTCAATTAACAGTGCATCTGGTTGATCTTTATGTATGTATTTTTCCACACCCTGTATTAAACTATATTTTTCAGATCAAATTGGATCCCGACAAGTGCTTGTTGTATTTGTTTTAACGGGGTTTGTTCTTTGCGGAGTTGTGGAACAAAGCGCATCCGTAGCTTTGAGGGCAAACAGTACGTCAACCTATTCAGCTGCTGAGTTTGCCGAGTACGTTGAAAATACCAGCTATATTACAAGATACTGTCAACCCCCTCAAAATGATACTGATAGTGGAAACGTGACGGTGCACGTTGTTCGGTCTATACCACACATTGAGGTATGAAACAAAAGTTTTTTTTTAATGTGTTCTTATATTTATAACTAATATTCTGCATGTTTTTTTTGTAAATTCTAGATTATCGATGTCAAACTAGGGTAGGTATCTTTTTGGTGTAATTTAAGATAATCTTTCTAGAAAATAATTTATCTCGAAACATTATAAGCAATTTTCTTTAAGAAAAATCCTCCATAGCCGCCTGCACCTCTGCCATAAAGAAGAAAAACTTAATTCTCCCTGATATAATTAAAATCTATTATACGGGGAGCTCGAATGTATGCTTTTAAAATTTTAAGAAGTTATATAAAAGTAATACGTTTCACAAGAGATGACTAATGAAAGCTTGACCATAGCAATATTACAATTCATGAGATTTCTGGTGCACGGAAATAAATCAATGCTTGCTGTTATTTCTAACAGTCGTTGTCGCTTTTTACAATTTGGTTTGAATTTTTGGTGAACTGATGTTGATTTAGGTATTACTATAAACTTGTTGCGAGTATTGCTTTTACTGTTTTGATAAACCTTTTTGGTAAGTAATAACAAACAATTTCGCATCCAGTAATTCACGTTATGATTTTAATTTATGGAAAAAATATCGGCTCTATGACTGAAGACTGTCCCAAATACATCCCAGACCTCGAAGATTTGTTTATATCATTATGAAAGCTGGTAATGAGCAGTTACAAGAATCGTAGGTGACAAACTGAGGAGTACTTCTCAACATTGTCGAAGAACAAGCAAGAACGACTAGCACTGAGCAAATTTCTCATGGACTATGTCACAGGAAAGTTCGGAAAATTTTACAGCAGAAAAAAAAGATCTATGCGATTTTTACCTGTGAGAATATATGGTATACAAAACAGTAATTCAGACGGTTGAAAAATTAACGTTAAAGAAGTATCGAATTCTCATCAGAAACAATTTACCATCAAGGAGCATCTTGTACCGAATTTTGGATACACCGACCACGATTCTCTGTTGACAAAAACGGGAATAATTTTGAACATTTATCGTAAGTTCAAAATTCCTCATTCACTCAGCACATGTAGAGAAACTAAGTTTACACCCCATTACTTAAAATTATTAAAATTAAAAATATCTCTATTTCATTTACGTTTGGCAGCAGCAAAAATCGATACATTTTCAGGACTACACAACTGAGGTTTCTTCTTGGTCATGTTCAGGAATGTAACACAGCTGTTGGATACTGGAGAAGAAAAATCAAAGTTATGAGCTTTTATATGCATATTAAATATTTAAAGCAAAAACTTTTATCAAGAATGCCTTTTTGTCGTATCTTGCAAAATAAGGTTGTTTACTCTTACGCAAAATAAAATTTTTGTGTTTTTGACCTACAACAAAATTGAAGTTCATTATGGTGATTCATATTTTCTAAACAAGCAAAAACTTTTATCAAAAATGCTTTTTTTTCGTAACTTTCACTTTTTGGTCCATCTGTCCTCTAGTAAATTCAATTCACGGACATACTGTATATACCATTCGCTTACTCCTACTACTATGTGAAATTAATTTAAAGTTGATCGAAATCCATTACATACATTTTTTTGCAGTATCTGAAACAATCTCTGTCATTCTGTACCTTAATGCTATTACGGTAATAGCTAAGAGAATTGTGTCTTTTAGGTAGAGCTTCTGTTGATCTTACGTAATTTGCATTAAGGTTTTAGCAGTTTTATTCTCACACTATTACATTTCAGTTAGTAAAAAAAGAACTAGGAAGTTACGCAAAGCACATATATAGACGTATTTTGTTACACTAACATACTCTATTCATTTTCAAAACTGAAAATATTCATTAAATTCATGTACGGATTTTACTATTGTCGAGAAAAGTAAGAAATATTTAGTTTAACTTTTAAATAGAAAAAAATTACTATAACACAAAAGATTTAAATGACAGCAAATTTTTCGTTTCGTTCCCTATAAGCTCCGATGATTTATAAAAATATTACTATTCTAATACCTTACTCTTAAGACATCATCAAACTTTTATTTTTTGCCATAAACGAGGATAATCCTTCCTTTTTTTGCAAATATATTTTTCGGTAAGGCTGACTAGCCATTGAATTTTTAAGTGTCATCCCTGATAAATATTTACTAAATATAGAACGACACAGAGTGTAAATAAATAAGTACCAAAAAATTCAGGAGGTGTTTCCTGTGGAAAAATAAGGTGAGTCTTTTATATAAAAATCTCATTTGAACATGCCCTGTGAAAATACAAATTCTTAAAGAGGGTGCTAAAAACAAGTTTTTAATTTTTTGTTCGTAATACCAAAAAAAGTATCAGAAATGAAATACTATCGAAAAGGCACTCGGTAAACAATTTGTCGATTTTCCAATGCGGTTGTAAGGGGTAGAAAAAGCCACTTAAGACTTCTTTCATACGTAACTTTTTTTCTTATTACTATCTACCATTATCAGATAACCCTGATTCATTCTAAAAAAAAAGATCACTTGTAATTTTTTCGTAAAATTATCGATTTCTGAAGAAAATAATTATTTAAAATCAATTACGTGATTGGTATAGGGTAGAAATTTGATCGAACTGTAATTTATCTAGTAGGCGGCTGTCTCGTTGACATTTTGCTATGTCAACAAAATGTATTTTTGATAATTATAATCTAAAACAGAAATGTTAATCTTAATTTTCAATTATACTTATACCCAACTGACCAATTTGACTCTGTTTATATAGGGTGTTGCAAAATGTTGTTCAGAGAATTCTAGAGCAGTTTCTACAATAAAAAATATGAAAAAATTCCTATAAACGTAGGTCAGCAAATGCTTCGTTTTCGAAATGGAGGGTGTCAAAAAAAATAAAAAAACATGTTTTTTATTGATAATTTCTAAATTTTTCATTGGAAATTTCTCCATAATGACAGCACATGTTATTTTTTTACTGACAGTCACCAACTATGTTTTTTTAGTAGGTAATGGTTTCATAGGTAGATTAGCATGATTTTTATAAATCTTCAATAGCTCGAAAGCCGCTCGCTAAATGACAATTGTGTAAGGGGGCCTTTTTGGCTCTAAAATAAATGAGGTTCCTAAAAATAAAGTAAAAACCAATAGAAAAACCAGTGGCGTACATTTTCTGGTCAAAAATCAATAGGTACGCCCTTGATGGGTCTGAAATGCAGCCGATTATACCAAATTACAACGTACGTATCATAAATGTATTGACTCAAATTTAAACGATTTCCAATGAAAAATTTAGAAATTATCAATAAAAACATATTTTTTAATTTTTTTTGTCACCCTCTATTTCTAAAACGAAGCATTTACGGACATACGTTTACAGGATTTTTTTTCGTATTTTTGGACGTAGAATATCCTAAAATTATCTGAACAACATTTTGCAACACCCCGTATATATAGCAAATAAAAATAATTTTCCTTATGAAAGAGAACTTTCATGAGAAAAAAAAATCAAAAGAAATTTACGAAATAAAAAACGAAATTAAGGATTGCCAATACTGGGAGTTGCAAAAGGATTCTACATACATGTATTTAGAAAATATTTTCTTATGTAATCAACAGTCATCTTTCACCATTTTCCTTTGGTGTATCGGACATACAGGCCCCACGTTAAGCGCCATGTCGTCTTTCGCCATCATTATGACGGCGATTACATCTAATATGGCAAGAACCGGCTTTTTCACCGAGCTCCTCGTGTGGCAAACGAGATTTTCGGAAGCTTGGGGACGCGGATATAGCACTGAGCGATTGTTCCCCATTGAAAGTAGGTAGGTAGGTAGGTAGGTAGGTAGATTCCTGGAAATGTGGTAAACGTTCTAATTTATTTCCCCTTTTTCCACTATTGGTACACCTTCGGGATGGCTCGGTTTTGGAGGGGTCCCTGGTTTTGAAAGTGAATTCCTGAAAAATTGGAAACTTCTGGGAGTTTGTATAGGCCTACTGTGAGTATGTATGGGTTTGGAAGCTTCTAGGAGTTTGCTGTATTCCTTGGGATCTTCAGTACAGGAATGGACAATGAATGGTTGGGGCTCAAGAACTGTCTAGGTCGGGAGCAGAGTACTCGCAAAAATTTCTAAAAATGTTTGACATTGTTTTGGACTATAAAAATTTTGGATTTATTGAAAATATGTTATTTACGGTATATGGATTTAATATGCAACGGGCTTTATAGGATGCAAATATTAATTTTGTGTCATACTACATTTAGTGGCCAGATATCCGTCCCTGGTTAGATGGATCCTATAAAGTCTGCCTTAATCCTCCTCCTAATAGACTCCTCTACATTTTGCTCAATATTTGGATTGTAATTGCCTACAACGGCTGATGGATTCTCCATTTGGATTTTCGTATTTTTCGGAGTTTTTATTTTCCGAAATTCAACTTTGCCGGTAATCTTCGGCGACTGATCTGCCGATAATATTGGCCTCCGAATGTGTCATTAGTTCTATCATCGGCGTTTGGTGCAACTGAGAGCTTCTTTGAGAACATTTGGAAACATAGTCGAAAATGTTACTTGGGTCCCTACTTTGGTATCGATTGGTCTTCGTACAGAGATTGGAGAGGGCTTCCGATTAGAAAGTTGATCGAAAATTTAAAATAACTGAGAATACGACAATACAAACAGCAATTTTCTTATTTTGCTTAAAATTTTAATTTTTCGTATAATATGAAGTTTGAAATATAGAATGTTAGTATCAAATTAAAATTTAATTTTAATAAATATGCAATATATTTTTTAATTATTTATTTCGTAAATTCCGTTCGAAACTTTTTGTCACGAAAGTTCCCCATGTGAGCTTTATTATTAAAGTATCGATTCAATTTTCAGCAGCCGCCGCTGAAACACTGGTTGCCTAGGGTATGATGTATGCTTGCATGCGCTAACCTCGAGAAGCATCTAGCAATACAGTTGCTATTTATAAAATGTATGCAATTGCGCGAATGGGAATTTATGGCAACACGTACGTACGTATGTACTTTTTTCAGATACCAATGACACGCACGGATGAAACGGAAGCTGTCCTGCGGCAAGCGTTTATGTGGGGCACGCTGGTATCGCCCTTAGCGGCTAGCAGGATAGCAGCAAGAGTAGGAGCTGAGAGGCTGTTTGGAGCCGGCGTTCTGGGCGCAGGAATCGTAGCTGTTATGGTTCCTGCTGCCTGGCTCACGGCCTGCCACGTTGGGATCAGATTTGTTCAGGGTATATTTATGGTAAAATAAATAATAATAATAAATAGTTAATTTGAGTGAATAATATTGAATACTATTTCATCATTTTGTTGATATTAGTATGTTCATTTGTACAGCAATTACGTACTACTTTGAAAAAAAAACAGAAATATTTTATAAAACGATTATTGCTTGTATGATTATTGAAAGTGGATGATTGTTTCCCATGATCTGAAAACAGTTTATGCTTATTCTAAGAGAACTAAACAAATCATATTATTTATGAGAAATTATTTTAACACTTGTTTCTTTTTCATTCTATTCGAATAAGATATCGGTTACAAAAGATTATATGAGTTGGGTAAACTAACCAAAAGTTTCCGAGATATGGAATACCCGGAAATTCAACGCCACTGAATATTTAACAAATTCGATTATTGCCTGTAACTTCTTGTTGTGTTTCGAAGACAAAAGATATCTTTTTATTAATATTTATTACGTTTTTTTAATTTTTATAACCACCAACCAACTCCACAAAATGTAAAATAACTAACCGTTTCTCAAAAAAGTTCATAGTTTTTAAGTAGAAATATAATTTTAAAGACAAACTACTAATGACAAGTTCGAATCAATGGGGCATTACATTTTTTTAGAAGTAACCAGGAGTATACCCCCGAAAAAGTTGCGGCAATTTTTATGATTATATTGGATTTAAAAGCGCAATATTTAGAAAAAAAAATCTTATGAGCTGTTTTTACAAAACTAGTAGTTCTAAACTTACATTAAGTTTAAAATGAAGTGTTTGGCAACATTAATGAAAGTTATAAATATAAAATTGATCGTATTTCGAATGAGGAGAATGAGATTTTTTCTCCTGGAAAAACCACATGAAGTTAGAAGTAGGTATTGAAAATATTTCAAAATATTCTGTGGGGTCGAATTTCTGGGTTTATTAGTGAAAGTTACTTTATAGGTTCTCAGCTACTATTACATGTATTTATATTTTCATTCAGTGGATTTTTTTACCTGAAATTAGATAAATCAATAGCCAACGTTTCGCTATTCTTTATTTATTTAGAAACAAGTATGTTACAAATCTAAATTACTGTATAATGTGCTTTGGAAAGTATGAGAAATATTGATTTTGGACGTATTTAATACGAGAAGGCAAAGAGTTTACCAGGTTAGGTACCAGGGTAGTTTGAAATGAACAATTTTGAAGTAAAAGATAAGGATTTTCTATAACTTCCAGCACTTAATTTTGGCATTTTAAATTCTTCTCGAAAAGATTCATAAGGAACATGACCTGGACTTCCGTTATGTTTTTTATAATAAGTAAATTTTATAAATTTATTTTGAAGCTTCTACACATAGCATGAGATTTTTCTATACAGGATTCCAGATTATAAACTGCATTATATTCTAACCGCATAAGTAAAAATATTTAATGGAATCGGTATTTTCAAATTCGTAAGTTATTTTTTTATAAACCCTACGATTGTCTAAGAATTATTTGCAACAGATTTGACTTAATTTCCAAAATAAAAATTTTTTGCTGAAAAGTAACAACGTGATCTTTTGTTATTATATTATTATTATAGCACTCTTTTATTCTTATTATACATATAGAACAATGCAGAAGACCAACTATAAATATTATTTATGTCCCTTTGCACTACGAAACAATCGTCACTGTTTTAACTGTTTTGAAAATCTTTAAATTATCTGTAAAGGATGAACAAATTTAAAAATTTTAACTTTAAAGTCGGCAAGAAGTTAAAGGCTTCTTTAAAGAAAGAAAATGTCAATTTTCTGTTTTTTTTTTTGTCGCTGCATAATATAAGTAAGTCTTAAGGCTGACGTTTTATAGACAAGAAATCGCATTTTACACTTCAACTTTAAAGGGTGAATCTTTGACTAATATTAAGATAAAAACTTCATATGAACAAGGGTCCGCAATGGCCTGGTCTTTGAGATACAGAACGTTCAAAAAATTTTTTTATTAATAACTTACTTATAAAAGTAGTTTAGTTTTAGCCTTGTAAATGATCTAAGTTTGTCACATCGCAATACAATCAATAAAATACACTTTTTCCCTTGTTTTTCAAGAACTCTTAATGATTCAACTTACAAAATTCCAACAAAGGTTTAACTTTAAACCCGTTTTTTACAAAACGACTGCTTTCAGCGATAAATACTTAGAGTATCTTTTGTACGTAAAATTAAATGGAGAATAGGTAGGTATGTTTAGTCAAAAATGACATACAGTGCAACACAAAAAATTTGTGGTTATTTAAATCCAGGTAAAACGCCATAGGTGGCACCCTCTAAAATTAAACAAAAAAACTAAGTAAATATTGAGTTTCTCATCACCAATACTTCCAGATTCCCGAATTTCGTCAAATTGCCATGTTATTGAACAAAAATATAATCAAAATACCAAACACAATTTTTTTTGGGTGCTCTATATCTCTAAAATCAAGCCGTTACAGACCCACCCTTTAAAGTTTGTTCAAGTACATAATAAAAACCCTGTATTTAGAGGAATTTACTACTCTGCCATTAAAACCAAAAATAATTAGAACTAGAGGAATAAATTAATTTAATTATGATTACATTTTAAGGGTGCTACTTGGCCAGCAGCGCATATGTTAGCAGTTACTTGGATTAAACACAAACATATTAGTGGATTTGTCTCACTGTATACAGGTAATTTCTAAACTGAATTAATCTTCAGAAAATCGATTAATATAGAGATGAAGTAACAGATTATATTTTCTTCTAAAAATCCTATCATATAAGTCAAACCATGTCCCTCGATATCAAGAATCTAGGTATGTGGAAGATGTACGGGTGGGGCATTTACCTTGAGAAAAAATAATATCTCGGTTGGACCCGATTATTTCAAAAAAAGTTGTTTCAGGCAAAAATTGTAGTGCATCGAGGGGGCCATTGGAAGGTCTATATTATGACTTCCGGTCTAGACAGGAAATGGTGATTTTAGGCCGGAAGTTGTTTTTTTAAAGGAAACACTCATTTCTTTACCAAGGATTTCTATTGAAAAACGAAAAAAATGCTTTTTGTTCTTATTATATTTTCGCTTTAACTCATACTTTGGCCATAAAAAAAACAAAAAAAACAAGAATATTGAGACAGCGGACTACCTTGTTGGGATCATTAAAAAAAATGTTTCATACAAAAGTTGTTGGGTGAACTATCTTGACATGACCAAATTGAGAAGCGAAGGGACTCCCCGAAAACAAGCACTCCAATGGTGAGAGGCGAGGGGACTCGCCGAAAACAAGCACCCCAAGGGGAATAAAAAACGTCCATGTCGTTATTTCTGGGCTAAAAGTAGTTAATAATTATTATACAGTTTTTTTACCTTAAAATGATCTTGATATCTGATTTTGTTCTTGAGGTTAAGTTGATATTTTATTGTAAAACTTCCAGCTCTTGTAATTTCCAAGGTTAAAAAAGAGTCCCATTTTAAAATTTTGAATTTAAATTTTCAAACGACCTTGAAATCAAGGTCAAGGTCATTTTCAAGGTCATGTCAAAATAGCCCCCTTTTCGCCCTACAACTTTTGTATGAAAATTTTTTTTAACAAAAGTTGAACAAGGTACCCCGTTGTCTCAAGATTCTTGTTTTTTTTTTGTTGTCTATGGCCATTTTTTGGCCAAAATATGAGTTAAATAAAAAAAATAATAAGAACAGAAAACTTTTTTCGTTTTTCTGTCTGAAACTTTTTTTGAAATATTCGAGTCCAAACGAGATACTATTTTGTCTCAAGATAAATGCCCTAGCCGGTTTGTATATTACTTATTACTTAAGATTCTTAAGAGATGATATTACGGGAAACAAATACTCTATCGTGGCGTGTAACCCCCACAGCTAGTATTGAATTATACCAGCATCATATAGTAAACAGCTAATAATTAAATGTTACGTCTCTATACTATTAATACATACATAAACCAGACATATTGAAATTGTTGAACAATGTAAGCTTCCTAGGAAAAATCTTGTATTCTTGTTGCTCTGACATCGTCCACTCAGAATTACTTTTTTCAATTGGACTCTTTACAATATTTAACAATTTCAATATGTCAAATATAGTATTTTTTCGTAGGTATTAATAATATATAGGCGTATAATTTCTAATTTTTATTTTATAATTATTAATTACAAGCTATTTACATCGCTTAAGAATCTTGTCTATGATGTTAGATATCTTTTGCATATTTATTTGATAGGATATTTAGCAAAATTTCTTAATTTATTTAAATTAGTTTAATACCTTTAATAAGTAAAAATAGGAGATGTATTTAAAAAAAATCATAATTTCCACCTTTTGAGATATCCAACAGTATACTTAATGTTTTAAATGGAAAGTGGCGACAGAATGTTCGATTGATTTAAAATTTTAAAATATTAAAAAATTTTAAAACCTATTGAGAACTTCTGGAATCGTACGGTAAATGAAAATTTATTTACTTTATGTATAGCGATTTGTGTAAAAAAAATCAGACGAACTATCGATGAAGTTAGCGGTTCCAAGAATGTTTCGTCATGTTATTATGGTACGTCAGTACCTACCTAGATATTAAAATTGCTCTCAAAAAATATTTCTGTCAATCAAGTTTTCACACCTCGTTTATTTATCCCTCTGATATCTTCTGTAGTTTATACACACAATTTAAGTTGCAAACATAAACGTTATTATTTCATTATATATTTTTTATTTTAGTGTATGTAACATTAATTTGTCTATTTTACTTACATACTTTCCAGCTGTGAATTTGGGATATGCAGTGGTTGGAATCTTGGGTACAATATTAGTTCGCAATTTAGGTAGAGATTGGTTAAGTTATGTCATATCCTTATCATCATTCTTGTGGTACTTTCTTTGGTGGAGATTTGTAGAAGAATCGTTACATCCAAATAGACCTAAGAGAGATGTAAGTTAATTTTCTTTTTTAGACATTTTAATAATGGGTAAAAAATACCTTTGATAATAATAAAAACATTACTCGACTATAATTTTATATTCTCATCGAATTTGTCCCTAATTTGTCACTTATTTTGCCTTAGGAATTTATTAGAACTGTAAAAAACACTATACTTAATCCATCATATTAACAGTATTACAGTTAGGCGATTAGCGATACGTACACCCACAAATAATCAAGATAATTTCAGAACAATGTGAAAATTAACATATGAACATTTTACCTACAAGATATATTTTAGGAACATCGACATTTGCCCTGGAGAAGGCTCCTGATGTCGAAACCAGCATGGGCTTGTGGAATTGCTGTCATAGGGAGCCAGTGGGCAGATGCTACTCTCATGTTGGGAGTAACAAAATATTTAAAATTAGTTTACGGATTTTCCATAGAATATGTAAGGGTTTATCTATACCTAAATGAAACGACTAATAATAATAATTTCCTAGGAAGATATACTACAATCTCTACCCCACATTGGTCACTTCTTTGCTGCCATTACATTTGGAATCGTTGTCGACCACGTAAGGGAGTCAGGCTTAATTTCAACTACAACCTCCAGAAAGTTCTTTGTTTATCTATGTAAGTTTAGCAGTATTCTACTAGAGCAAGAAAATATATTCAATTCTTCTTTTCACTAAATTTATACGAGGAGGATAAATTTCATAACTAATAAAATGAACAGTCTTTAAATGTATCCGTTATATTTTCTCTAATTGAATATTAAAAGCATTGTGAATAGGACTCCAAACAATCGATGCATATTCTAGTTTGCAACGCAGAAATGACATAATATATTTAGAATCTTTACGTTCTGAAAGTCTTTAGAATTACGCAAAATAATGTCCAAATTTTTAAAAGCAGGTGTGGTTGCTAAACTAATATGTTCGTCATATGATACCTAATCTAATATCAAATTTAACACCAAGCATATTGCGTAACTCTAGAAATGTCACCAATTTTATAAGCAAAATCTATAGTAGTTTTGCATTGATTGTGGGATATAATTTTCATTTGCTTATATTCAGATGTTGACTATTATTTGAACCACCAACTATACTATAATACAATACTCGTATCTTAAAATCTAGTACAATCAGTAGGATTTCCAAGAACAGCTTAGGGTCATCCGCTTAGATTAATTGACATCGAGGCGTTCAATTAATTTATTAATAAAAATAACAAACAGGAGTGGCCTCAGAATTGAGCCTTGCGTAACCCCTGAAGAGTGACGAAATTTATAGAATTGAAAGCCACGACACTGTACAAACTGGTAACTATCACTAAAATAAGGTGTTGGAATGGTGATATTAATTTTTTAACATAAAAATAGTTTATTGTGTAAAATTATTTCAAAGATTTTAGAGAAATTATAATCCACAACCTAAAAAGCCATTTGATCATGGCCTTTTGACTGTAGACTGTAAACTTAATTTCTACAAATAAACCTCAGTTCGCTATATAGAATCATTAGAACCCTCGTTTAAACCTTCATTCAAGAATATTTAGAAAATATTGTAATATTATAGATTGGTTATGCAGATCAATATTTGTACTCAACATCGGTGCCGTTGTGAGTCTTCAATACCAGTAAGGAATCGTCAAGTAAAGACACTTTAAATTATTATTTTAAAACTACACTTTAACATAGATAACACTGATTGTTAAGGCATTCTATCGCTCTCCACATTATAAACATTTGACAGTGACAGAAATGTATAACATATTCTTCATTTCAGCACACTTTCCCCCTGCCGCTCTTATGTTCGTCTTGGGATATACTGGTTGTGATCCAGCAGCCCCAGCTGCTTTGTACACAGCAGCCTTGGCAATGACGGGGGCTACTCCAGCAGGAGCCTTCGCTAGCGCTGCAGATATTGCTCCCAATTTTGCAGGTACAAGTTTCCATTGCATACGGTTATAAAAAACTGTTCGTAGATAAAGAAGATATTTAAAATCTCAATAGTAATAAATATATTAATACAAATGGGTAGGTATTAATAACGTAACATTTCTATACCTGCGTTACTTCATTCATATTGAATAGATCTAGACCAGGGATGCACAGAATTATAGGGAACAGGGGCCACTCGGGAAAAATATAAGCCAAGGACGGGCCACTACAAACAATATTTATTAACACAAAATTTTTTATTTTTAAATAGTATGAAATACAATGATAAAAATAAAATAACCTTCAAAAATGTTTGTTGTAATAATTATGTAATCATTACAATGTAATATTTCATGTTTTATTATTTTGATGCATGACATTGCATTGAACTAACAAGTTTTTTTATATTTGGCTCCACATTACTTGTAGCCACACGTATAATTGCTTCCAAATTTTCATTTGCCAGACGGTTTCGGTTTTTCGTTTTGTTAAGTTTCATCACTGAAAACGTTTGTTCACAAATATACGTCGATCCAAATAAGCTTGCGCATTTCAATGCATTTATTCGCAACTCTTTATAAGCGTTTTTATCAACGCAACGGTAGAAGTTGAGTAAATTACCTTCATTAAATTTGTTTCTTAAATTATCATCATTTTGCATGTCTATTAATTCCAGCTGCATTAATTCCGGCGCATTTTCGGGTGAAATGTTGAAAGGATTGCTGAAAATGTCCAATAGCGGTTTAACTTTTTTGAAGTCTACAAAACGATTTTCAAAAGCTTGTATCAAAATATCAATTTTTTCAACATGAGCGAAATTGACGTCAGTTTTATTGAACTTCTCCATAATTTTTTTGTAGTTCGGAAAATGGCCGTAATTGGCTGAATTGATTTGTGTCCTGAAAAGACTCAATTTGCATTGAAAGGACGAAACATGAGAGTATAGCTGCGAAATCAATTGATCTTTGCCTTGGAGTCGCGTATTTAAGACATTCAAGTGATTTGTGATGTCTACAAGAAACGCTAAGTCACACAGCCAATCAGGGTTGTCGAGTTCGGGGACGTCGTTTTTCTTTTCCGCCAGAAATAGTTGGATTTCTTCAATCAAGTTAAGAAATCGCTGTAGTGTCAACCCACGACTTAGCCACCTTACTTCAGTGTAAAACAGGAGATCACCATATTCGCTTTCAATATCCTCGAGAAATTGTTTGAATTGTCGGTGATTGAGACCTCGTGATTTTATAAAGTTTACGGTAGGTACTACAACTTTCATAACATTTTCAAATCCCAATAATTTTGAACAGAGGGCCTCTTGATGTATAATACAATGAAACTGCATTAATTCCTTGGTATTTATGTTTTTAGTTTGTAAATATGTTTTTAACAGAGTTACTATCCCAGATGTACTTCCAACCATTGAAGGTGCTCCGTCAGTTGTAATTCCAGATATTTTCGTTAAATCCAAATCCATTATAGAACATTTTTCTAGAAGAGCTTTGAGCATGTCACTTCCCCTGGTTTGACTTGTCAAAGAACTCATACCAATCAGTTCTTCACTCACTTCAAAATTTTGCGTTACACCTCGTAAAAATATTAATAGTTGAGCAGTTGAACTTATATCTGTAGATTCGTCGAGCGCTATAGAAAAATACTCAAAACTTCTCGATTTCGTAGCTAATTGCTCTTCTATATTATCTGCTAATGCGGTAATTCTTCTTTGAACAGTCATCCGATTTAACTGAATTTTTTCAAACTTCTTTACATTTTCCGGACAAATTTTTTTTGCGGCGATATCCAAACATTGCTTAACAAACTCACCATCTTTAAAAGGCCGACAAGTTTTCGCTATTATTCGAGATATTTCAAAGCTAACTTCAGTGGCTGTTTCAGCATCTTGAATTGGTTTTGTAAACATAGATTGCTGGCCTATTAGTTCCCGTTGTAAAGTGGAAATTCTTTGCGTTCGATTTTCGCCAGTTAATTTGGTAAAAGTTGGATGCTGGGTTTCATAGTGCCTTTTCACATTATATTCCTTCGGAATAGAAACACTACTCTTGCATATTAAACAGACAATTTTGTTATGCGATGAAATAAAAAAGTATTTTTCGGTCCAAATATCATGAAACTGTCGATTTTCATCTTCAACCTTACGACTACGTTTCTTACTGGGGCCTGGTTTATCCATATCAAAATTAATATTATATGTTACAGTCGGTAAAAGCCAAGTTCGAACGACGAAATATTTACTCGTCACAGATTACAGTTCTCAAACAGTATAACGTTCGCTTATCCGTAGTCAAAACTTAACTGCCCCGGTAGCCGGCGATGCGTCGTATTTATACGAGTTACCAAACATCGAGAACCATCCACTTTGTTCGGGGATCGACGTGTTTCGCGAATCTGTAATCTAGTTGATGCGACAGATTTCTAGTCTCGTAATAATATGCTTGGACCGGAGCGCGGCGAGTAGAATACTTTTAAAATTCGTTGGCGGGCCGCATAAACATCGACAGTGGGCCGCATGCGGCCCGCGGGCCGCGGTATGTGCATCCGTGATCTAGACACTAGTAATAAGTGATTCTCATGATACTGATAACGATAAAGATACTGATGTGTACTTTAAGAAAAAGGATTCTACAGATATACAGTATACTTTCAAATATTTTGCACCCCGTCTACATCTGTTATGGTTGAAGATAAATTTAAATTAAATATTGAAAAATTGTACATCGTTAAGAAAACCAACCTTCATTTTTTAAACGGATCACCCCGTATTAGTTATTTATTAACTGAGGAAGCAAAAATATTTTTTAAATTTTGATATTTTTGTGATATGTCTCAGCTATGCAAAATTCTAGGGCTTCAGAATAATTTATTACATTTTTTTACATAAGACATATTTTTCCTGTCTGTCCTGTGACATTTAATAATAAATAGATCTACAGGGTGATCCATTAACGGTATCGAGCGGCTGTATATAAGGAACTAGACGTGCTACGATTATGGGGTAAAAAATCTATTAAGAAATACGACCAAAAGAACTTGATTTAAAATATTTTCAAGTTTGTAACTTCACAGCTAGGGGGCGTAACTGCTAGTGTTACAAAAAATTGTCGTTTTTTCGAAATTTCGCTTATATAACCTAAGTTGAAAATACATTTTTTAGATACAATGTTAAACCTTTCACAACTTTTGTTTGAACTTTTTTTTGTTATTACCATAGCGACGTCAGTATGAAGGACGCTATCTTGAAATTTTTAAATTGTCATAACTTCTAAATGCCTTAATCGATTTCAATAAACGATAGCTCATTTCAAAGCACTATTAATAAAATTTATTTTTGTGATATAGGAATAAAAATATTATTTTCCTGCGCAACGGTAGACGACGCTAATGAGAAAAGTTTTGTAATTGTCTCCGTTACTAAAAAAATTAAATGAAACGATATAGGTTTTTTTTCATGGCTTGATAGTCCATTCATTATGGAAAACAAATACACAAACCGGAGGTCGATATCTTTTTCGTTTTCAAGTTATTGCTATAACAGTGAAGTGCTAGCACATCCTCCTTTATTTAGTTCTCTAAATAACATTGATATAATCCAAGCCTAAATTAAATTGTAAAACTATACCAATCTTGTTTTTAAAAAGAATTATTGCTTTATTTTGAAATTTTTTTGATAACTGCAATATTTCATATTTTTATTAATTCCAAACATCTAGTAGTTATAAAGATTATTGTTTCCATAACGAAGGAGGCTTTGCCGTATGAAAATTATGTCAAACGATATGTGACAGCTCTTGCTACGTGCAAAATTAGTGTCATTCGTATGAAAAGTACTTGGGTTCCATATGAAATCCCCAGGTCTCTAACTAATTCCCTTGGACTTATTTGGGGATTTACATGGACACAAGCCAACAAATTAATAATATTATCTTCCGTACTTGCATGGCGATATCTTCTTACAGAATGTAGTAGCGTCTGGATAAACGCTGAAATACTTCTCTGGAGCGTATTCTACGAAGGTATCGCGACATCTTCTTACATAATGTAGTGGCGTCTGGATAAACGCTGAAATACTTCTCTGGAGCATATTCTACGAGAGTATCGCAAAGCGTATTCTCTTGAAGCTGTAACGGCATTTTTCAAATATTGAAAATAAACGGCCAACATATCATACGCTTCCACATTCATAAAAGGCATTTTCCTTGTTCACAAATACTTTTCCAACACAAATAACACTAATTTTGCACGTAGCAAGAGCTGTCACTTTTCGTTTGGCATAATTTTTCAGTTGTCTATTTTCATAGGGCATAGCCTGCCTCGTTGTGGAAACAATAATATTTGTAACTACTCAAATATTTGGAATTAATAAAAAAACGAAACATTGCAGTTATCAAAAAAAAATTCAAAATAAAGCAATAATTCTTTTTAAGGACAAGATTGGTATAGTCTTATAATTTAATTTTGGCTTGTATTATGTCAATGTTATTTAGAGAACTAATAAAAGGAGGATGTTCTAGCACAACCTCACCGTTTTAGCAATAACTTGAAAACGAAAAAAGATATAGACCTCCGGTTTGTGTATTTGTTTTCCATAATGAATGTTCTATTAAGCCATGATAAAAAACCTATATCGTTGCATTTAATTTTTTTAGTAAACGGAGACAATTACAAAACTTTTCTCATTAACGTCGTCTACCGTTGCGCAGGAAAATAATATTTTTATTCCTATGTCATAAAAATAAATTTTGTTAATAGTTCTTTAAAATGGGCCATCGTTTATTGAAATCGATTAAAGCATTTAGAAGTTATGACAATTTAAAAATTTCAAGATAGCGTCCTTCATACTGCCGTCGCTATGGTATTAACATAAAAAAAGTTCAAACAAAAGTTGTGAAGGGTTTAACAGTGTATCTAAAAAATGTATTTTCAAATTAGGTTATATAAGCGAAATTTCGAAAAACCGACAATTTTCTGTAACACTATAGCAATTGCGCCCCCTAACGGTGAAGTTACAAACTTGAAAATATTTTTAATCAATTTCGTTTGGTCGTATTTGTTAATATATTTTTTACCCCATAATCGTAGCACGTCTAGTTTTCTATATACAGCCGCTCGATACCGTTAATGGATCACTCTGTATAATATCGCAAATTAGAACAAAACAATATTTTTAATGATTCGCGTAATTAAATTTGATAATAGTACTACAATATAAGCTTATAATAACTTTAATTAAATTATACTGACATATCAATTCAGGTGTCTCTGTTTGGGAGATACTGAAAACTATTACTCCACAAAATAAAAATAATAAGTTAATTATAGAGAAACTTGCAAGTTTAATTTCTAATAAACCTCATGATTTGCACATCCCACAGTATTGTATTTTATAAATATGTACCAGGTACGTCTTTTTTTAATAATGTTGCAATAGATGGGTATTGCAGATGCGGTTTAAAAGATCTTTATACAGAGCCTAATGTTTAATAACTATTTAGTATTATAATATAGTAAGTACATAGTAAATAAAAAAATTTTTTCAAACTACTTGAGTTAAACTCAAAAATATCATTAAATTTTTAAATATTATTAATAGCATCACAAAGGAGGAGGGTCAGTACGACCGGTTTTCGACCCTATGGGAAATTCATCCTAATCATATCGATTATGTTTTTTGGACCTTCAGAAACAATATTAAATCGATTCTAGGCAAAACGGATACAGCCCCCAAACCAAAACATTAAAAAAAATGTAATAAAACGATGTTTCTTACATCTGATTAAAGACACTTATTTATAATCATAAAAGCAAACTCTTACTCTTTTCCTCCTCTACTCCCCCTCCCACTCACTGCATAACCTCTAAAAGACACTGAAGTAAAGAATTGAATATAAGAGGAATTCTACATAATGTAAAAACATTTATTTCACACTTTATTCACACAAACAACACTTTATTTCTCACTATAAACTAACATATCTCACTTTCAACCAGCACCCCAAACAGTGAGAGGCAAAAAATATTAGAAATGAACATTAATATTATACTTAAACCATATTTTTATGCCTGTTTATAAAAGTTGGAGAAACAAGATGGAGGTACAAGGAAGAAAGAGATATACGGGATATATAGGAATAGAAGGAGGTGGATTGACCTATTTTTAAACGAAACATTTCAATATTGTTTATATTAGACTGATAAATAAATAAATATTTTTGTGAAATCTCTTTGATATTCTTCTTTCAAGGGTTACGTAGAAGGGGGAAAAGGGTGGAAGGGGCAGAGGTAAAAGCTTTTTTATGACTATAAGCAAGTATATTTTACTTAATTTGTACATTTAAAATGTTATTTGTATGATTCTGTGCATCAGATGTAAGAAACATGGTTTTATTACTAAGAGTTTTTTAGTGTTGTGGGTGGAGGGATTTAATCGGTTTTGCTTAGAATCGATTTAATGTTGTTGTTATAGGTTAAAAAAATATTGACCCTCCTCCTTTACTCATTTTTTTAAAGTTTTAGTAATATTATTAAAAAAAAACAAAATGTAGGTAAAAACCAAGTGAGAAGTACATAAAAAGTGTATTTGATTAAGAAATAAAAATAGGACAGAAAAATGTTGAGCCTTATTTTGGGTTGAAACCATAAGGTTGAAGGTTCATGCTCAATACCTGCCTATTATAATTTGTTGACATTATTGAAGTTTATTTGTGTTACAAACAGACAGATGTATTTTTTAAGTAACAATTTTTTTGAAATATTTTATACTTAGTACAAATTCTCTTAAAATCGTAATATGTATAAGAACCTATTACATGTATATATCTACTATATATCTTGCGCGTAAGTTGTTTATCTGATCATATAAAACTTGCAACGACGGTCCGTCCATTATCTTTAACAGAGGACAGTGGTACTACTTGTATTTTTATGTGAATATCTTAAAAAAATATAGATTAGCAAGATACGAAATTACTTAACTTTGTCCTCAGTTAGGCATGTGCATATTATGCAGACAAAAGTAAGCGGTTCAAAATAAATTGATTTAGTAAATTAAAAAAATGAAATCTTATTATTGTTGCTTTTGACATAGTTATGAAAATATGATATTGATTTTGTTTTAATTTAGACTAGTACTAAAGTATTTCACTTTGGCAGGCATTATGTTCGTCATTTCATTTGTTACACTTCGCTGCTTAGGCCAATGTTATACTTTCATAGTTTTACTGTTTATTAAAGTTATGCTCTTCATAGTCCATTATTTTACCACTTTCCTCGTATTCAAGCAATTACAACATTGATACCTAGGCAGCAGTTACAAAATCAAAACGGTTTCTACTCAACCACTATTAACACACACTTCAGGCGCATAAAACAAAGCTAGAACAATGCAAAGAATAATCACATTTAACGCCATTATTACAGCAGATATAGAGAACAACAAAATTATTTTTTTGATTAAAATATGCATTTCCGCAGTTATGATACCACCAAGGTAATTTTCCTGTGATGATGATGATGGTATAAAACTTGTCTTCTGTATATCTCTTAACTCGAGTGTCAAACTTCTACAGGGTGTTTCTAAGTCAAAATTAACAACAAACATTTAATTTAACTAAGAGCCAATTCTGACTCCTTATGAAGATATAACAAAACTATTTCAATATGATATTCCTTCAATTTAATTTTTTCGACATATGGCATATTTGATTTTAACTAATCTAGGCACTAAAAATGTTTTTCACTATTTGTTGTTTTGAAATCTGAATTCACACAATAAAATCAAACATTACACAAACATTCTTAGAATGTTGATGGATATGTATTTTTTACATCTATTTTAAAAATTAATTTTGTTTGTTTAGGAACAGTATTTGGTTTATGCCAAACTGTTGGAGCAGCAGGACTTCTAGCAGCAAATTATGTTGTGTCTGAAGGATTACATGGATCGGTAACTATTTTGATTATAGAGTATTAGTGAAAACAGTGGGTATATCCATTTCCATTAAGTTTCAAGATAAAAATATAAAAAATCAATAGGGTGCAGTGTCAGGCTATTAAAATAGCATCATAAATATTGTTATTACAAATAAAATATCGGGTATATAGAAAAATTGATTTGACGAATTTACCTTTTAACACCCAGTTTCACAATCTGTGGTTAACTAGTAGTTAATTCCTTACCAAAGGTTAACTGCAAGTAAGCTGTTTCACGACATCTGGTTAACTTCAATGTCTTGGTTATGTTATGACAAAGTTAACCAGAACCTTAGGTGTAAGTTAACCTGAAGATTTGTAGTTAAAGTTAATCTATAAAGAGGTAACTGTCATTAAAAATATAAATGCTTGCAGTAGCGATGAGGAGGTTAGGAGACTACGAATTTTCAAAGACCAACTTTTTTGGAAGAATATGATTTTTTCACAAGATTTAGGCTTTCCCCACGTACAGTAGAATATTTTTTAGAAGAAATATAGGATATTATTAATCACCGTACGCAAAGGTACACACTATATTTCTATATGTTTTGGAAATTACAATACTCTTTATTTTCCTATGTAGAAATAACTACCTCAATGCTACTTTTGACATAACATTTTTTTGTTAATGAATCTTTTCTAAGAACCTCTCCAGATTTCTGTGGAGTTAGTAAAGCCACAGCAAGTAGAGTAGTGAGAATTATTACTATTCTTATTATTGCACTTCTTATTGCACTTATCTTCCATGCTAAAAAGTTTAATAGCACAGTATATTATGCCAAGTAATACGTAAATTAAGTAGCACTGTCACCAAATCTGTTACTACAAATTATTTCTTCCTATTCTTCTAAATTTTGGCACATGTCTATTGCAATAAATTCGTAACAACATTCTAAAAATGAGCTTAACCCCAGGTTGGCTTACTTGAATGAATTGTTTAACCACCAGTCAACTCTTGGGTCAAGGTTACCTTACCAAAAAGATAACCAACGATTGTGAAACTGGCCGTTACTCATAATTATTTTAGATTAGCTTTTTTTCAAATCATTTTAGATATTTTGAAATTAAAAGAAAAAACATCAAAATTAGCCATGAAAGTAGAAAACAATTTATTATCAAATGTCATTGAATTTTGATTTGAAATATACAGGGTGTAACTAAATAAGTGTAAAACATTTAAGGGGGTGATTCCTCATCGAAAAAAAGATAGGATCTTTCATATAAAGAAACTTCATTGGAGCATCCCTTGTTAAGATACAGCCCCTTAAAGGGGGTACATAAAATTTGTTTAACAATTTTTTTCACAAGCACTAAACAAGTTACAATATTGAAATTAACCTGACATTTTCTACTACCAAAAAGACACTTAGCCAGTAATTTATTTGGTTTACCCCATGGTTGTAAGGGGTGGAAAACGCAACCCCTAAAATTTATTTCCAACGTAATTTTTTGTCTTATTATTTTTTTACCATTTAAAAATTTATTTCCGATAGCCTGTTTCATTCTAAAAAAAAATGTCTCTTGAATTTTTTGCCCAAATTAAACCAGTTCGCAGCAAAAAATTATTTTACGAACAAGATACATATCGCCATAAAACGAAAATACGAAACTAATTTATCTAGTAGGCCGCCATTAGCGATACTGACAATTAAATTGGAATCAAGCTGTCAGTTTGTAAATTTTTGAAATTGAAGTAATACTAATTGTGTATTGTTCTGTTCTTAATTTGTTACTTTAATAATTCACTTGTTATTAAAATGGCATACACAAATGAGGAAATGGCTGATATGCATTACGTTTACGGTCTGTCGCAGGGGAATGGGTTAGAAGCTTCTACAAGATATGCTGAAATGTATCCTCAACGGCAGCATCCTTCACATAGAATATTTGTCTGACTTCATCAACGATTACGTGAATATGGTTCATTCAACAAAAGAACGCAGGATTGTGGTCGCCATCGAGAAGTAAGAACACCACAGCTTGAGGCAGCAGTACTTAATTTGATAGAAGAACAACCTACTACCAGTACTAGAAAGATTGCTTTCCAGCTAAATGTTGATCATATGACGGTATTTCGAATTTTAAAGGAACATCTCTTATACCCTTACCATCTGCAACGAGTACAGGCACTGTTACCGCGAGACTTTCCGAACCGTCTTGAATTTTGCAATTGGATGCTGGAAATGATTAGAAGAAATCGTGACTTTCTGAAGACGATCGAATTCACAGACGAATGTAGTTTTTCTCGGGACAAGATTATTAATTTTCATAATTACCACATATGGGCTGATGAAAACCATCACGCTATTGTCGAAACTAACCATCAAGAACAGTTTTCTCTTAAGGTGTGGGTCGGAGTTATTGGGGATTATTTAATTGGGCCTCATTTTCTACCTCCTCGATTAAATGGTGAGGCATACGTTCAATTTTTAAGAAAAGTGCATCCCCCCGTACTGCTGGAGGAAGTTCCTTTGGGCGTCAGAAGGGATATGGTTTTTATGCATGATGGGGCTCCCGCCCATTTTAGTCAAGTAGCACGTCAGCATTTAACTGAAACATATGCAAATCAGTGGATAGGTCGAGGAGGACCACAGAATTGGCCCGCTCGATCCCCGGATCTCAATCCTCTGGATTTGTCTACTTGGGGCCATTTGCAGCATTTGGTTTATCGTACTCCTGTTCGCGATGTAGAGGACTTAAGAAACCGCATTATCGATGCGTGCAGGGTAATTAGAGAGACTCCAGGAATATTTGAGCGAATACGTGGCTCAATGCGCCGACGTCTAGACGCATGCGTAATGTCTGAAGGTAGACATATTGAACATTTACTATGATTTCTACATGTTGTATGTTTTGTTATTATTAAATTAGTTTTGATTATTCCCCTTTAATCATTTAATGCAGGTAGTAACTACAAAATAACAGTAAATCCAGTCCGCATTTATGACGATGTATCTCTGTAGTTGTTCGTAAAATAATTTTTTACTGCGAACTGGTTTAATTTGGGCAAAAAATTCAAGAGACATTTTTTTTTAGAATGAAACAGGCTATCGGAAATAATTTTTTAAATGGTAAAAAAATAATAAGACAAAAAATTACGTTGGAAATAAATTTTAGGGGTTGCGTTTTCCACCCCTTACTACCATGGGGTAAACCAAATAAATTACTGGCTAAGTGTCTTTTTGGTAGTAGAAAATGTCAGGTTAATTTCAATATTGTAACTTGTTTAGTGCTTGTGAAAAAAATTGTTAAACAAATTTTATGTACCCCCTTTAAGGGGCTGTATCTTAACAAGGGATGCTCCAATGAAGTTTCTTTATATGAAAGATCCTATCTTTTTTTCGATGAGGAATCACCCCCTTAAATGTTTTACACTTATTTAGTTACACCCTGTATTTAATTTTAAAATGAACTTAATTTTGTATCCACTGTTTCTTTCATGCGATTGCCAAGTAGAGGAAGATGGAGTAAATTAGTACTGTTTTGTCATTTTATACCTAGCATCACAAATTGTCACTGCAGTAGTATCAAATTGTGCTTCAAACATTTTTTTTTAATTTTAATATTAAAATATTTGAAGTTCATATGGTGTAATACAGTTGTTTGCTTTTTAAATAAAAGAAAATGTATGTTTGGCATTTATAACACGCAAAATGGAAACTGGAAATTGCCGAAGTAAAAAGGTACCCAAATAATGTAGCAAATATCAACATTTTTTTAAATTTGCATATACATCAAGAATTTTTTCGGCCATTTTGAGATTTGAATATTTTCTCAGGGGCGTTCAAATCAAAAAAAAATATTGTAAGTACCCTCCTAAAATTAATTTAAGACCATCCTCAAACAAATCCCATCACTAAAATAAACATTTTATTTTTTGTATGCTATATTTATTATATAGTTTGCAGGTTGGTGGAGACTGGTTTTTGGAGTTTCATCTGCAGTTTTGTTAACTACTGCTACTTTCTTCATGGTCATGGGCAGTGGCTCAATACAAGACTGGAATGCACCAGGTGATATTGAGTCTGAACTGGAACCGATAGAGGAACCGTCTAGACTCGAGTCTGTCCTTGAGTAAATTGTTTTAATACTTTGTCAAAAGTCAAATAAAGAAAAATTTCAAATTTGAAAACAGATTAAATACATTATCTATGTAGTAACAATTTATATGAATGTCCTTACATCTTTGCTCCATTCCGTTTAAAAGAACACCGCTAATTACCCACCCACAACACACACAGACCCACAAAAAAAATGTTGAATATACCAGAGACTGGACCCACCTATCCTTATGTATTTTGACGAGCTGAAATCGAATCCGGAGTCAAAATTGCTCCATCACCCTCCAGTTTTTTTTAAATCGCGAAGAACTACCTCAAAAACAAGGAAAATCTTCAAATTCTCGCCTGAGCACGGGTTCGAAGGTTGAGATAAACGTGAGAACCAGCACAGTAAGACTATTTTATATGTATTTTGACGAGCTAAAACCAAATCCCGAGCCAAAATTGCTCCATCACCCTCCAGTTTTTTTAAATCGCGAAAAACTACCCCAAAAACACGGAAAATCTTCAAATGCTCGTTTGCGCACGGGTCCGAAGGTGACTTAGCCAGTGTCAGCTGTTGCCCACCGTCACCACGAGGAGGTGCCCTGGTTGCAAGCACAATTAATGAAGCCTCTCCAATGAGGATTCAGTAGGAGAAGATATTTCCTTTTCAAAGAGATGACTTATGCTACATTTTTGGTAAATTTGAATTTTCTAAACAGGGATTGTATCTGACAATTCGGTTTTAGCTCGTCAAAATACATATAAAATATTCTTATTGTGCTGGTTTTCACGTTTATCTCAACCTTCGGACCCGTGCTCAAGCGAGAATTTGAAGATTTTCCGTGTTTTTGGGGTAGTTTTTCGCGATTTAAAAGAAACTGGAGGGTGATGGAGTAATTTTGACTCCGGATTCGGTTTCAGCGCGTCAAAATACATACGGATAGGGTGGTCTAGTCTCTGGTATTTTCAATTTTTTTTTGTGGGTCTGTTATTATTGGTTCTTCACTTCAACTTACTTCAGTTTCGTTTTTATGAAATTTTTGCTGTGCGATAATTATATTTAATACTCATACCTGAATAATTTAGAAATTTTTCTCAGGTGAGAATTTTCTGGATAATGTAAACAATACCTCGGATGTAGTTGTCAGTATTATATTACAAAAGGCATTGTTTATTGGATAATATAGTGTGTGACATACAATGATTAAATTTTGCCTTATTAACATATATAATACTATATCTAGTAAAACCAGGATTAGGAAATAATACTACATGAATATGCATTTATTGTTTTATTAAAATAATATGTCTTAATATTTCTCAGGAAAACGGTTCACATCTTTGGTAACTTTTATGCAATATTTACACAATTACAGCAGATTCAAAACCATTGTAAGGAAGTAATGAACTGTTATATAAATAAGTAAAAAAATATTAATAAATATATCTACATCAGTATCACCAAAAGTTAGACCTGGTCTAGTAGTTTTTTTTTTTATAAAATAACATTCACAGTTAGCTTATTCTGGATCTATGCTGAAAAATTAAATCCAATCGGGCTAATAATTTGTAGCTTTTGAAAATAGTTATAAAGATGAAAATACAATTAGTAAAATGTTCGGACATGAATCTCTATATGCTATAGAAAACAGTTTTTATACATGTTTTTTAATAGTATTCATATTAGTAATTAGGAGAAAATACACCTATAAAATATGAAGACTGAAATGGAAATAACTTATAATTTACTGGCTTATATTTTCATAGTGGGAGGTTTATTTGTACAATCATAGTTAAACTTATTAGAAAATAGTTTAATATGACTTGCCAAGAGGGGATTTTCTTCGTAATATAACAAATTTTAATTTTCGATAATATTCATGTCAGTACTACCCAACTGTTACTTGTATTTCCATAATCTGTAGTCTCTTATGAGTACATTTACATTTCAATCCTAATTAATAATGTAAATTACTTTACCACTTCATTCACTTTTCAATTAACTAAAAAATAGCCGCTTATTAAATTTCTCATAGACATGATACATGCCTTCATATAATAATAATTTTGTTAGGTACAATACATTGCTTTTAACAGGTCTATTAAACAGTAAAAATAATATACCAAGAAGTTTTCATTAATCGACTATGAATGTACAAAATTGAATAATACTGTGAAAACTATTCATAATCTCTTTCAAACTCCCTGTACCTCTTAGACCTTTCTGGTCTCCTTCGTGGTTCTTCAGGTTCTTCCTCCCCTAATATTTCAACATTCCTCACAGGCATCCTCTTCACTTGTGTTGCTGCTGTTGGTAAATCAAATTTATCGTCATCAAGAGGTAGAGCTGGATTTATGGCAAGTTGAAGCATACGTAGCAACAGCATCTCCCTTACATCAGGTGGTAGATATTCCTCTTGTAACTCTTGCTGTTTTTGTTGGGATTTGGAAGGTAACAATCTAGCAACTCGCCTGTTTGGTCTGTATGACTGTTGGTCGTAGTGGTTTTCGTATATTTGTTGAGATCTAACAGGAACTGCTTTATGTTCAAAAAACTGTTGCGTTGTCAATCTTTGCGAGTCGTCTTCTGGTCTACGTTGAATAAATTGTACTGGCCCATTACTTTGAGTTGGTTCTCTTCTTACATAATACTGTTCTGGTGTTTCTGAGTATACAGTCCGATACCTTTGTTGCTGCTGTTGTTGTTGTTGATCTTGAAGATATAACTCCCGTTGTCTAGTTAGAGCACTAATTTTTTCTAATCTACTTTGCCGAACGATTAGTTGCTGTAATAGCTTCTGGAAATCTCTTGTACTGACGGGTGGCTCAATATTATCTATATCGTTGTCAATTTCTTTATTGACATGTTTAGGCATTGGCATTACAGGTACAGGAAGGGGAACGGGATAAGTTTGAACCTGACGTGGTATTTCCCTTATAAAACCATTCTCATCTACTTGCACTGGAATAGGCCTTAAAGGTGGAGGAGGCAATCGTCTTACAACTGCTTGCTGCTGTTCAATTTCTATTATATTAGGTCTAGTTGCTGTTTCTCTAAAGAATGACTCTTGCTGACTTGTATATTGTTTTTGAGGCTCGTTTATGTCTCTCATATTTTCTATTGGAACTAATCGTCCTTGAAGCTGGCTGAGTGGTACTAAAATGGTCCCTCTTTGGAATGGATGTTTTATAGCAACTAGGAGCTCTTGCTGGTCTGCTTTATTGGGTGGAATTTGATCTGCTGAAGTGGGAGATTGAGTAGACGGTACCGAAACTGGTTGGTTCGTAGTAGTTTCATGTGAATAATCTGGACTATTTCTTTCCAAATCTTGCAGTACGTTTCTTTGATAATTTAGGGGGTATCTTATAGTAGGTCTAGGGACATTCAAGGAAGTAGTACTCGGACTAGGTATCGCTACAATTCTGGGTCTATTTGTAGTGGTAAATAATGGCCTGGGTGTTCCTGTGGTCATGGAAGAACTGTATACATCAGTAGTATCATGTCCCAAAGACTGCTGTAAACTATAAAGATGTTCTTGTACATTATAGTCACGTGTATTTTCCTGGGACAATTGTCTTCTTAGAATATTTCCTGTACCTTCAGATTCAGGTTCTTCAGTGACAGGTTTGTCATCTTCTAACTGTTTAAAAGCTAACCTTCTGAAAAGTGGTAGCTCGGTAGGTTTTTGTGTAACTGTTTCTGGTCTAATAAGTTGACCTTCTGACTTAGCAGTATGTGTTTGGGTGGCCACTGTGGATGTGATAGGAGTTCTGCTCTGTACAAGCACCCTTGGTGGAGCCGAAGTGTACGTAATCGGACTGGATCTATTGGTTGTTCTTGCTGCAACATTTATTACATCGTTATAATTCGGTCTTTGCGTTGTGGTACTTGTAGCTATAGAAGCTCGCCTTCTGGCTATACTTTGTATTACAGAATTTGAAGTAGTCGTGGGTGTGGATTGAGTTGTCACTGGTATTCTTGTTGTAGTTTTGTTTTTATTTGGTATTCGTTGAACAACAGATGACGGTTCCGGTCTCGTAATTAATTCGCTTGAGTTGCTAGTGCTATAGGAAACTCTTTTAATTTGACCTTCTTCGTCGACGAAACCGTACGTTCCTTTTATTTGTCCAAGAACATCTCTGCTTTCAATTTTAAAGGATCCATCATCTGCTTCGTAACCTATCGTGTAAGAACCGTCGTCGTTAATTTTCTTAATGCGTTTAATTATTTCTAATTTTCCGTCTTTGGATTCGGACTGAACTAACTCCTCAGATTTCTCTTCTTTGGCGTCAATTTCAGACTCAGTACATTGTATAGTCTTCCACTGTGTTAGGACGAAAATGCATAAAATTATCTGTAAAAATAAACAAAAATTAATTATATAATTTCTAGTAGTAATTTGTGCAATTAGCAATAATTATATAATGTGCATTTTCCTCTAGATGTGTCTATATATATTTTAGTCATTAAACGGAAGATTTTACATTATAAATAATTTAATTTTGAACGTATTAAACATACATTACAATTAATATAAAATATTATATTCTTTCATAATTTTTATTTAATGAGAATAGAAAATATGTTACTCGTTAGAGTTTAATATCAAATAGAGTTGTGACAAAGTGATAATTATACTTTTCATGAATCTAGATGGACATTTAAAGTATTATTTAACAAAAATAGCTGCTGTAACTTAATAAACAGGTAAAACTGTAATTTTACAGTAAATTACAGTTGAGTACCATATAATAACTAATTTAACCTGAAACTGGAACAATAGCTAACATTATAACAGAAATTATGATAATTTTCTTGACAAATAACAATAATAGTTCTTCTGGGTGAAATCTGACGCAATCTTCTTTGCGCTATTTACCAAATAATTACATTAGGATGGATACGCTTTCCTTGTTCATAACAAACATATGTTTTTCATCAGAGTAGCATCTTGGAGTAAAGAGTAATATAAATAAACAACACATTATAAACCTTAAGATATCAATTAACCAAAATAAGACAGGATATTGTAGTAACTAATATTGGTACCAAATATGTTAGCATGTTATATCATATATATTTAGTATTTTATAGACAAATATAGGAAAATGTATAGATCATGGAAACAATCCTATAGACAAATTCGGCAAACAATTTTATACTGTTTTTATTAATTTGTCGTTAAATATTGGGCAAAAATCAGTACAGGAAGAAGGATCTATTAAGTCTTTCATATTCCCGGAAATGTTTTGTTAATTTATATATGGAAACAGGAAGTTCCTTTATCCGTGTAATCTTGTAACATTATAGTGTCACTTTTAAATATGAAAATGAACTAGAGTCGTTAATTGACCTGTGCTGCTTTCGAATTCGTATTAGAAACAATTTTATAGTCTTTTACACATACACAATAACGGTAAGAATAGTATGCTTATAATAAAAATATAGTACAGGGTGTCCCGAAATTCATGCAACAAAATTTGGTCACAGATTCTTAAGTCAAATTAAGGGGACCCGTATTTTTTATTTTTGCCAAGTGGCCCCCCCTCTTTCGGAGTTACAGCCCCCCGAAGTCCGCTCCTAAGAGTAATCTTTTTTTTTATATCTCAGAACCCTGCTGTACGAGAATCACTAAATTTGGTACACATGGGTTTTATGACATGTGGAATCTGATGGTGCTACTTTTTTGGCGGGGAACCCCCTTAAGACAATTTTCCGTGGGCCCCCTTGTCTTTGGAGCTAAACATATTTGAACGCCTATTTAAATTTGTTAAAAATTACTAGTTCACTAGAAAGCCATTAAATTTGGGAATTTTTTGTCTCTTTATACTTTTTTCGTAAAACGCATTGTTTTCGAGAAAAATGTCAAAATGTGATCGAATGCATATCGTAATTCGCCATTTTCCTCAAAAACATTTCGTTTTACGAAACAAATACCATGAGACAAACAAGTTTCTATATTAAATGGCTTTCTAGCTAACTAATAAATTAAAAAAAAAATCAAATTTGCGACCAAATTTTTCTGGTTCCAAAGAAAAGGGAGATCACGAAAAAGTGTCTTAAGGGGGTTTCTCGCCAAAAAGCGTAGCACTGTGAGATTCCACATGTCATTGTGTACCAAATTTAGTGATTCTCGTACAACACGGTTTTGAGATATAAAAAAGACTTTTTAGGGGCAGATTTAAGGGGGTTGTAACTCCGAAAGAGAGGGCCAGTTAGCAAAAAGAAAAAATACGGGTCCCCTAAATTTGTCTTAAGAATCTATGACCAAATTTTGTTGCATGAATTTCCGGACACCCTGTATAGTATCCTTATTTGGTAGCAATAGATGATAATGTTAAATTTTTTGAGAGTTCAAGAAGAAAATGTTATTTCCTTACTCATGAACAACTTTATGTTCAGTTCAGTTCAAATTGAACCATTTTAATGTAAAGTGATGTGTTTGTTTTCGCTATCGTAGTAACAAATGCGTTTAATTCAGAATATTTTTATATTGTTGCTTTTATTTTTCACGTGGAATATGATTTTATTCCAAACTTTTAAATATTTTTAGGTTACATAAAAAAGTTCCATTAAAATTAAAGTACCTACTTGATATATTATGATTCATGCAAATTTTGTTGATTTATTGTTTTATTAATTGAGAAATCTATAAATTTGAGATACTCAGTTGCATTTCTGGAGGTGCAAATATTGCTTTTTATAAATTGATATTATGACGCCTTCGTATTGATCAAACCTGGAAGAAATTCATAATTTCACATAAAAATGATATAAATTAAACAGCCACACAAAAAAGTTCAAATCAAAGAGAGCTAAATATCATTTCCGAAGGTATCAATGCGTTGAACACGATCTGGTAACCAAAATTCATGACCTGTCGATGAATTCCGGAGAAAAGCGAAATTTTTGGGTGATAACGCCTAAATATGGGTCAAATCTGATTTTTCCCTAAATTTTGTCCAAATATACAATTTGTTTAGTATATTAAGGTGCTGAACACGATGCCATTAGTAAGATTTACCCATCACCTCGATATTTTTCAGAATGTCCACTAATTGCGTGAAAACTAGCCAAATATATGTAAAAACTGATTAATTTTTTTCTAAATTGTGTCCAAATATATCATTTTCGTAGTATTTTCAGACGCTGAATACGATGCCAATGGTAAAATTTACCCATGATCTCGATATTACTCAAAAAATACACTATTTGTGTCGAAAATGCGTCGAAACTGATTTTTTCCTAATTTTTGTCCAAATATATCATTTTCGTAGTATTTTGGTGATGTGTGTTCAGCGCCTCAAAATACTACGAAAAAGATATATTGAGACAACATTTAGAAAAGTCATGGCCTATCTTTGGACCAGTTTCACCTAAAAATTTAACTTTTCTCCGAAATTTGTGGTGGTCATGAATTTTGATTACAGGATCGTGTTCAGAGCACTGAATTCAATCGGAAATGATATGTGGCTCTCTTGGGTTTGGGCTTTTTTTTTGTGCGGCTGTGATATTATTAAAGACGTAGACCCTTCTTTTGAGAAAAAACTGTTTTTCCGTTTTATGCTTTAATTAGTTTAATTGTATGATTTTGTGTGTTTTATACATATCTATCGATGGTATTTATCAAATTCTGTCTTAAAGTGGAGGCACATTTTTAATGTGGCTCGGTAAGTAACAAATAGAATAACTAAAATAAAAATAAACAATGAGCCTTCTGAATTTTGTGAAATTTTGAGGTCTATTGGAATACGGTTTCAGATGAATACAATATAGACAAGAATTCCATTCTTATGTATAAAAACATAATCCATATTTCCAGATATACATACATGTCCATAAACATATAAAACATGCATAAAACTAGATATTTGAGTATTCAGTCTTGAAATTTTAAATTTTGTATTTTTTCAATGACCGTCAATCTCAAAAAATAGGGAATTCAGCATCATCCTTTATTTTCAAATATCTCAAAAGATTTTCAGAATATTTCTCTCTCTCCCTCTCCATTTTAAAAAATGTCAGAAATATATAGCCTTCAAAAATTGCAGGAATGAATAGAAAAAATACTTGTTTATGAACATTGTAGCTCTGGACTGTGCTTTTTTCATGTATAGCCTGTCAAAATGGAATTTTGCTTATTTCCCTGGAATCATTTCAGATAATGACATGAAAATATTTGTAAATGATTTATGCCAAAGAAGGCTATTTCCCGAAGGCAAACCGTATATTAAAGTTTTAATCATTTACTTAACTACACGGAAACTGTATACCTACCTTTGAAACTAGAATTTGCTTTACTATCCTATAATTTATAATAAATGCGTAGATCATCAAATAATTTATTAATATGTACCAGAAATTTTATTTTGTTGATTTCCCAGAACATAACAATAATTTTACTATTATCCCGTAATAATTTATTTGCAAATATATTACGCATCAATTAATTAATATGTCTATTTAAATTGATCTCAATATTAAGCATTTTCATCATTTTTAAAAAAGAAGAATACAATCTAATCAGAAACTTATTTATTCCATTCCATACATTAAATGAACAGAAATGTGGAGCTGAGGCAGAATGACTCTACTAAAATAATTAAAACATGAAGCACAATTTAGTTCAATTTTCTGTAGCCCATGAAGTAGGTAGTTGCTCAAGCAATATAAACAGTTAAGAGGCTTGTTTGTGAGGTTAGATATATTTTGAAAACCTAGATTTTTGGTATTGAAGAGAGCTAATAAACATTTTTTTAAATTGTTATTTGTATCAAAAAACCTTATCAGGGGGGTAATTTAATACCTACATTATACGAGGTATATTACTCAAACTCTATTAAGAGAAAAAACAGGAACTAATGACTTTTTTGCATGCAGATAATAATATAACTGTAAAATGGAGAATTAATATCTGTTTGCTCTACAATTTAAAGTTTATTCATTCGTTCAGAGGAAAAATTAAAATTTGCTGAACCCTTTTTGTTCTATAATATATAACGCATACACTGGTACATCGGAAACATAAATTTCCAAACATTTTATTTTATTCTCGTATATTTCGTTTGAAATTCTAACTAGCGAAACATTTTTCTCGGCTTCTTCTTCAAACAGAAAAACAATAATTCTCAAACTCATATCAATTTACCGCAGGATATGCTGCATCATTGTCCCCATTTTGTATATTCCCAATTATATAAGCTGTCACTACTTTTTTGGCAGTTATGTATAAAATAAGATATAACTGTTTCATTAAACACAACAGAAAATTAATCAGTACCTATAAAATATGTTGCAATGTACCTAATTAGTTAAATAAATAAATAAATTTACTATTAGTTTTTTCATGCAGTGAAATATACGTTTTTGAAGACATTCTTAACTGATACGTTTACAGGTGTAAACGTTAATTAAATACTAGCATAACCATCTCTTATTGTTAGTGATGGATATCTGCGCATAAAAATTTTTTTACCTCCAGACTCATATACAGGGTGTCCCAAAAGTGACGCACGTCCTTCTGGGATTTGATTAAGGAGACAAAAACAAATCGAAAATCAAGAATGGAAAATTTTCCGATTGTTTTTCTTTGATGAGTTATTCAAAAAATTATTTAAAAAACTAAAAAAGTGAAAATCCAATTTTTTCGTCTCAAAATTGAGGTCTATGCTTATGGGGACCAAGACAAATAATTTATAACCAATAATAGGTAAGTATTGTTTCCGATTGTCGGTTGTACCTGGGTGTAAGGAATAATTTTTACCTGAAATGAATAGAAACAATTTTTTTAATAAAACTATTTTACAAAATGGAGAGGAAAAAAACCATAACGTCCTTAAATAATAGAAATTGTGTTTACAAAAGGTGTTTAAATAAGTTGCCTTCTACTCTAAGACAAAAATAGGCATGATTCAACAATGAAGCTTGAACCCTTTGTAGCATCTGTTGGTCTGTTAATGCGACAGGAGCGTGTATACAGGCTACTACATGTACTGGATCTACAACAGGTTTGCTGTAAATATTTTCTTTTAAATAACCCCAAAAAAAATCTAGGAGATTCAGATCTAACGACCTAAGAGGCCATGCTATGGGTCCACCTCTTCTAATTCATCTGTCTGGGAAGTTTTAATTCAGATAATTTCATACTCGCAAACCATAATGTGATGGAGCTCCATTATGTTGAAACCAATAATTTAGTCTAACTGCTAACGGAACGTCATCCAGCAATGGCAATAGTAAGTTTTCATTTAAAAACATACAGTTGCAGTAAATATCGCTCTGAACTACATAATTATTTAATAACCCAGACCAAATGTTTATTTCTAGTTTTTTTTTAAATATTTTTTTTGAATAATTCAACAAAAAAAAACAATCTTAAAATTTTCCATTCTTGATGTTCGATTTGTTTTTGTCCCCTTAATCAAAAACCCAGAAGGACGGGCGTCACTTTTGGGACACCCTGTATATCAATGTGCTCTTTGCATCAATCCTTCTCCACATATTACAGATTTATGAAGTTAAAATATTATTATATGATTAAACGTACCTATCCATAATGGCTTCGTTTAATCGCTAGATGTGGTAAAAGTTTACAAAACGTGTTATTCTTTCTTTTTATTAATTTAACAATAAAACAAAATATTGCTTTGTGGAATTGAGAAACTTAATAATCGAATATTCTTTCTCAAAAGATGGAAATTCAAATTTAGTAATCACATTTTACAAAATTGGAGTAATTTATAATGAGGAAGAATTTATTTTTTAATAAAATTGAGTGTATTTAAAAATTGTGAAATTTGCCAAAAATTTTTTATTCGATATTGGATTGAAATTAAGTGTTTCATGAAAGTTAAATCAATTTTTATCGAAAATGAGCTGATGATGATTACTAAAATAATTTATTTAGCGAAAATCAATACAAATACAAAAGTTTACAAAATGAAAATAGAAAAAGGAATTGCAGACTACGGAGTTAAGCCTTATCGTTTTATTTACTTCCAACAATCTGTAGCATCTCATGTACGAGTAATACTGGGACACCCTGTTTAAGGCTTGATCAAATATTTAGTATGAGACAACTATGAAATTAAAAAAAAATTGTGCGAAATGGAATATATGGTTATTTTATTGATTACTTATCAATACAAGAAATAAACAAGCATGTTCCATCTCGAGCTTTCTATGAATGCAATTCAAGGTTTATCCCTGTTTAATTAAAAAGGTTACATTTCCACTGTTAACTCGCTAAGTTAATCGATATGGGTTAATAAAGACTTACTTTGAAGGAGTAAAAATAATCTATTGTTATTAACGTACTAATCCTTATTTTCCCTAGGATGCACTCTCACATATATTATTTTTTTACATGTTAACGTACCTGTATAATAGCTGCCATTGTGGCAGTCACATTAAGACACGTTTCGCACAGACTGATTTTCTCGTGTTTCTTGGGTTCCCTATATAACCTAGCAGATTCATTGTGAAGACATCTTAGCATCGCGAAGATCTGGAGGGAGACGACCTTGTCTCCCAAGACAATACACCCACCAGCTGCAACGGTGCTCGGATGCATAACCAGAGCTTCTGGAGTATTGCATCTCGGTGAAAGTGTCATTAATGAGCGTCACGGTGACGATGCGTAATTACACGTTTGAAGATGAGTTTACGTTTGGATATTATAAACACTTTTTAATAATAATACTCCCCTTCGTATATGTAATTTGTAAATATATCGAGCACTTTGACGAAAGGTGGTAGAAATTCAGTGGTATTGGCAAGCGACGAAAATAAATTTTGTTTTTATCACAAAAAGTTTAAAAGAGATGCTTTTAAATGTGAAGGTCCTTGGTGTCAATTTTTAGCTATTCAATAAAAAACTAAAAACGTTCTATTATTATGGCGACCAACAATGGGACAGACATCTCCAGTTGTCGATTATTTATTTTTGACCATAACAATAAATTGCATTTTTTAAATAGATACATGTGCCGATATTTCAATTATTCTCTGATTGTGAGTAATTTTTTTCAAATTTTAAAAATGAAATACAAAATTATCTATTGGCTGTCAATGGTTCTCGTATTGCAACGAATGGTAAAAAATTTTTGAAAGTCAATCTAGGTCTCAGGCGAGATTTTCCATTTATTTTTATAGTGGCGTGTACTGAACGCCGTAATAGGTGCTGATTTTCTAGCACGGTTTGGATTGACTATAGGTTTACAAAATGGACATATTATTGATAATGAATTTACCAACACCAAATATAATTGTCAGATATATGTTTTAAAGGTATATAGGTATATATTTTGTATTGATTGTAACTCCTCCAATTATATCACAAGGAAATATATTCTTTCGGTTGACGTTCTGTACAGGTACAGTGCCGTAATAAGTGTCCCAATCTTAATAATTTTAAAGACAATTTTAATTGTTCCAAACACACCGGTTTTAATGGAACAGAGATAAATTCTAATTTATTTTCTCTGATTGATGTTTTTTTTTTTAATTTCAATAGAGACTATAAAACAAAGTTCAACTATGTAAGTGTAATTAATTTTACAAGATTTGTGCAATTTGGAAGGCTGATAGAAAGAAAAATTAACAATTTAATAACCTTTTCACTACTCAGCTTTTTAAGAGCCCCTTTAAATTATACACGAAACACGACGTATAATTGTCTTTATAAGTATCGCTATAAAATCAGTTGAAAATTGATTTAAATTTTGGTCTATAATATATTTTTCTAAGTACCTACAACTTCTTTATTTTGTTAGAGAATCACACAAGTTATTACTATTGATATTCCGAACATGTTATTAAAAAAAATTATGGGAAACAAATGTTTAATTTTGATACCGTAACTGACAAAAACTTTCAGTTATTTGAGTCGCAAAAATATTTTCTTTTCTAGATATTTTTCTGTTTTCGAGAAATGCTATATTTTTTCTGTGTCAGATGCAGATTGATATCCTTTCGTTCCATTTAAAAGTTATTATCTTTAAGAGCTTTTGTCGTCTGCATAATAATTCAATTCTAAAAATCCCTGTACAGGGTGATTCACTATATTTTGACGCCCCCATTAACTTTTTTGTTTTAAGAGTTATAAAAAAATGTAAAATACAAAAGCTGCACGATTTTTTATGAATTTTTTGAAAATGATATTTGATAAACAAATGAAGTCCAAACAAAATGGCCGCGGATGTTAACTTTGTTAATTTAAACGGAACACTCTGTATATTTTTACATATTTGGATAGAACGTTTTCTGTCGAGCATAGTCATATAGGGTTTGTTGGATCCATCTCTAACAATAAGCCAGATACTATTAAAAAAGGAAAGAATGTTTTTTATTAAGAAAATAAGATATCTTGTAATTGGTAGACCCCTTTCAGGCATTTCTGCCTTTTTCCAATTACGTAAGGATTTACAGATTTAGTTGTAATATATTTTGACATATCGGACATTGATATGGTCCAAAATGCGTATAGGTATTTTAACTAAATCTCACTAATTAGGCCTTGAGAGGCCTAATTACTCATGGACAATGTTATGGTAGGCCGTGACAGTGACAGGTAATGTCATGACAACATTGTTATTGATCGACAGTTTGTATTATGATTTAATTAAAATAGGTTACACAGAAGTAGAAATAGGTACTATTAGGAATTCAAATAGAGTAAAAGATCTTCTCCATACTCTATTTTATTTCCTAATAATATTTCAATTTTCTACTGCTGTGTAACCTATTTTAATTAAAAAATAATACAAACTGTCAATCAATAACAATATTATCATGACATTATGTTTCACTGTCACGGCTTACCATATAACATTGTCCATGAGTAATTGGGCCTCTCACGGCCTAATTAGTGAGATTTAGTTAGACCACCTACACGTATTTTGGATCATATCAATGTCCGACAAGTCAAAATATATTACAACTCCTTACGTAATTGGAAAAGGGCAGAAATGCCTGAAACAATTACAACATATCTTATTTTCTTAATAAAAAACATTCTTTCCTTTTTTAAATAGAATATCTATTATTATTATAGATGGACCCAACAAACCCTATTTGACTGTGGTCGACAGGGAACGTTCTATCCAAATATGTAAAAATATACAGAGTGTTCCATATAAATTAACAAAGTTTAACATCAGCGGCCATTTTGCTTGGACTTCATTTGTTTTTCAAATTTAATTTTCGAAAAATTCATAAAAAATTGTGCAACTTTTGCATTTTACATTATTTTATCTCTAAAAATGAAAAAGTTAAAGGGGGGTCAAAATATAGTGAGTCACCCTGTGCATAACACTGAAAATGATATTGAAAAAAATTATACCTCTTAAAAGCTTACAGTATATATTCAGAGTAACCTAGTAATGGCTGGAAACAATTAAATGGTGAAATTCTTGCTCAGTTTTGGGGAAAAAAATTCCCAAGAACTCATGTTCTAAATGGGTTAATTTATGTCCAAAATTACGGTGTTAACGTTTTTGAAAATATTAGACAAACGCAAATATCTCAAATATATTTTTCATAGATTAATGAGACTTGGGCTAGTTAGATAACTTAATAGATGTACAAATTCACTGAATTTGTGCGCAATCAGATCAGTCCATGGCAGAGATATCGGGAGGAAATTCAGTAAGTTTTTTTTTGATTCGCAAATGTATTTGAAAGGAAAGTAAGTGTAAGTTAAAGTATTTAAAACTTCATTTGCAGGAAACAATTCTTACTTTTTTTACGAAACGAATGATTTTAGAACTATCTTCTATACAGGGTGATTCAGAACTTATTCAAAATTCTGGATGTACAGGGGACCCTCACAAATACAATTTTGTAAAGAAAAAATCAAAAAGGGCAGTTCGAAAATGATTTAAAAATACACTTCTGCACGGCATTGGAAACTGGTCCACTGTAAAACCTGACCTCGCACAATGCGACCGGGATGGCGGTGTGATAAAAACGGACAAAAACTTTCGCAAGGAAAGAAATATGTAAATAGAATTTTATCGCACCTATTTTATATCGGCATTAATTAATAAAACCAATTCGTTTGTGTTTTTAAATAATAAAATCATTTGACATACCCGATGACAACAACAATTGTTCAAAATTTTATTCACCAACGTGTAAACACATTTGGGTCCGCCTTACTCAGTTTCTACGAACTAACACAAATGATGTCTTGCTTCACCATAACACAAATGCTTCACCATAAATTAAAACGATATCCATCAACTCTGAGTTGCTATACACGCAAAACATTTTTGACACTAACTACTGAAAAATATTATAAACACCACAGATAACAGGTAAACACTATGGCAACGACGATTTCAAAATCGGATTTCAGTATTCGGAGTCGCTTAGACCACGTGGCTCTCCACGCGTATTGCGAATGACGCTAGAGACTACAGTTGTCCAGCTATGTAGTGGTTGAATGTACTATAACTTCAATGAATTTTTTCTCGGAAACTATAAGAATTTTACAAAAATATTTTTTACGATATTGACTCCATTTCTCATGCCGCATCTATTCCCAATTTTTTTTGGATAAGTTTTGAATCGCCCTGTATAATCAACTGCGTAATTTTATTTTAAGTCAAAAAAAGGAACTTGAAGGTGATTCGTTTTGAGAAACAAAATGCAACAATATTTTTTCTTTGAAATACAGACCTACATTGAACTTAACGAATTTCAGAAATACAAACAGTAAGTGACGTCGAAATTCTGGGTTCTCAGTAATGGAGTCTTCCGATGTCTCCGCCACTGGTTAATATAATTGTATACAGATATAGCGAATTCTTACCTTTATTAACCAAGACGCTAATATCAAGGTTTATTAAAGGTTTATTATTTTACGTCAAGCATTTTTATAAATATTTGTATTTTTATATTTGTCATGTAATTTAACACCCCATATTTCGAAAGGCCGTTTTTTAAGAGGTATATTGATACAAATATTTTCTTCTAATTTAAATAAGAATTGCACTACCCCAGTAAGAAATTACTTGTAGCGGTAGTTAGGTACTTCTAACCAGTTGTGACAGAAAAAGAGGATCATGAAATTGTCTACTGAATACCCTATCGATATTAGGAAAAGTGCAATAATCAGTTTAATTTTTAACTATCCGCTTATTTGAGGGGAAAAAGTAAAAACTATTTTTTTCATTCCCCGTTTGAAAACTCAGAAATCGGTAGGGAGTAGGCGTGGAGATTTTTTTAAACGAAGTACCTACTCCCTTTAATTTTCAAGGAACCGTCGCTTTTTTTTCGCACTTACTATCCAATAATAAAGGTTATTTGGATATAAAGATAGAAAACAGTTAGGTACTACTAATAATTATGTATGTGATTAATTCATAATGTCATTAATTTTAAGGGAAGATAGGGAAAACTGAGTAGAATACAAATACGTGATAAAAAAAATAAAAATGTGTATTTACGCAGAAATGCATATTTTGAAATCATCATCAAGCCCTTTTCGGACCGCTCTTAACCGCTAAGGTTTATCTAGAGTGAATCTTGACCTACCGTAATATTCATTAGTCATTAACCTAATTTTTAATTCGTTTTTAATCCGTAGTTAACGACAACGAATAAACAGAG